CACGGAATATTATATATAACTGTATCCTGGGCTGCATCAAAAGAAGCATAACCAGCAGGTCAAGGGAGGTGATTCTCCCCCTCTACTCTGCTCTCTTTTTTGGGGTGACTGAGAAAAGAGAGCCAGTTCAGGAATGTGAGGAAAGAAGAGCAAACTAATAAGCAGGCTAAAGGATGTGGCAGAGGCTTTCAAAACACATCGGATAAAGGCTGTAAGCGTGTGGCAAACTTACTACCGAACAATTACAATGGTTGAGAGAGAGGTAAATGAAGCTGGCTCACAGCTTTCGCAGTCTAGGCTGAAATAGGAGTGGAAATCGGTGATATTTGCAATATTTAAAGATTGTGTTATCTATACAGCAAACAGCACAGATGTCATACAAGTAAAAATACTGTTAAACAGCTGTTTAAAATGTATTTCTAAACCCAAGATTTAAGTTAAACAGGTGAAGACTTATTGAGTCATAAGTTCTACTGATTTATGGTGCATAACTGTAACTTTAATCGTTACAGTACAACCAACCCATTACGGCTTGCTTTGCCATTCTTTGGCAAAAATGTAGTTTTTCCAAAGAAATACGGACCAGGTTCAAGGTTTTGTTCAGGAGAAAATAACTGTGCAGTTATTATCTTCTAAAAATATCCTTGGTGTATATGTCTTCCCAGAATACTCTGTGTATTCCAAATGTCCAACAGCAAAGAAATGCTCTAGCAATCAGTTCCAATAATCAGGGAAAATAGTGTAATTTTCAAAATAGGCCTATTGCTTTGTGAAGTTACAAAGGCCCAGGTGCTGTAGATTCCCAACTAAATTACAGAGTAAGTTGTAGGGATTCAGTTTGGCTGTCTTGGGCATCTTTTAACTGGACAGAATTTAAGATTTAAAGAGGCCTGTTGAGGTAAACTTGTGGATAGAATTTAAAAAATACATGCTCTCCAAATTAAATGCTTAAGGGAGTTACAAAGAAATACAACTTTTGTGGGTATAATTTCTATTATAGAGTATAAAAATAACATAAATTAGACATTTTAAATAATAGACTTCAGGGAACGGGAGCCTTTTCAGAGGGACAAAGCTTTTGTGAAACGGTGACCTCTCTGGAGAGCCATGTGGGTCTGTGGCTCGACTGCTATTCATCCAGCTATTATTTACCTCTCTCTGAGGTGAACAATAACTGAATTTCAGATTCTTCAAGATCATTAAATCCACAATAACAGTTGTTGTCAGAAGTAGAAGACTCCTATAGAGATATAACAACCAAACAGGGAAACTCTTTTCAAGGCTAAAAACACAGGTGCTAGGCACAAATTACACAATGTATCAGCCCGGCAATTTTCATGTCACTTTGTTAACTGTGGCAGTCTGTAACTGTGGAGTACCTTTTATGCCTGCCTTCAGCTGCAGAGCTTACAGGGTTTCTCCGGCTCACCCGTATCTCTCTACTCCCAAATAAAGAATGCCTAAACCATTAATTATTATAGCAGTGTTTATAGTGTACTGTTGCCCTTTGGCTGAGAGCTCCTTGATTTTCAGGCCTCGCAGCAGGTCAGTTTCCGTTCTTGGAAAGGAATCAATGTCAGAGTCGGCTGCCGCGCCACTTATTTGCTTCATGTACATATTTCCATATAGATTATGTACGTGAGCCTTGACATAAACAGCTTCGAAAAACCTCAGCAAGAAGCTGCAAGAAATGTCTTTGTTGCTGTCGCTGCAGTTCTCCAAGTACCACCCCACCTATTATGAAAGCAGGTGACACATCCACTTGAGTAATCACACATTGAGACAGCATTACCAAAATTCATCGTCAACTCATTCAAAATATTTTTCTGACCTGCTACACAACAGCATATTTGTACAAAAATGCACAATAACTGTTATTACACTGGGTTGTAAAAATTTTTTTTTGTTTTTTTTTTTTTTTTTTTTTTTTTTTTTTTTAAAAAAGGGAGAGCTTTGAAAGGGAAAATGGAATGTATAATTTCCAGATCTCAAAGACATTCAAATATGGGACTCCACTTCTTCCTCTGAACAAAGGTTATTTTAACCCTGTTCCAATTCAGGTCTGCTAAGAGTCCTTTATTCCAATAAATTTTTGTGAAAGAACATGGTTATCCCACCGAAGAGGAAGAACAGAAGACCCAGTGATTGACCTGCTGACGTTTTTACAAAAATACAGCAGTTTCACAGTCCCCCTAAGATTTAGGATTTTACTGGTCTCCTAGTTCTCTTGTCTTTCTCCCTGTTATCTAAACAGGAGATACTTAGATTTTCAACAGAAATGAACTGGAAATATTAATTCACATTAGCCACAGAAGTTTGGAACTTGAGTTAGAAAACTTGTGAATGTTGTCTTCTTGATTGAAGACAGCAGCCCATCAGAAAAATACCATCATAAATAAAAAACATGCACTTGTGGGTTAAAGCAGACTGTTGGGCTGTACCAAAACCATGCAAATTCTACCCTAATACTATAAACATACCATAGGTTGAGTAAACGTGTCTGAAACTAGCATTCAAAAGAAAAAAGATAAATCTCAAAATAGACTCAATTGAAACATATCACAATAATCATAGCTGCTTTAAAATAAATATAGATGATGCTTATCCCTGTCCACTCAATAACACTAATTGGCACAAAGAATACACTGTTTCTCTGTGCTGTACTAGCCCCCATTCTGTTCCATTTCAATCTAAATGACACATATGACAATACTAAATAAATGTAACAGTTTGATTGACAATCCACTCTAACTGGCATTATAGAGATGGATGAGTGAGTGGATGGATGGATGGATGGATGGATGGGTGGGTTTTATAAGGCAATCCAGCCCTTGCAGAAAGGGAAACAACGACTGGTAAGTGAAATACTGTTTATTCAACTGCTTGCTTAAGGGACAAATTATATGCAGCCTACATAGTATTGCCAGGGGCAAGAAGTGATGGCAGAAGATAAACTGGAAATTTAGGAGTATTCATTTCTGTGGAATGAATAAAAAATATACCAAAACAAGCTTAATAAAATGCAATGTCTGTTTGAAAATTAATTAGAAATTTCTTCAAAGTGACTCTGAAGTAAAACTATTTCTATTCCTAATAGGAAGAAAAATTGAAAATATTTTCTAAAAAAACACTGACCTGGTTCAAAAGACGAAATTTTAAACTGCTTCAGTGCAGGGTTTCAGTATGAACTTAACACTGCCCTCTTGTGCTTATGCCTTAAAATACATGTTCTTTTACATCACAAGATACATGAAAAACACAAGTCGGTAATCGACAGAAATGCAGTCAGTAAGTGGGTTGGTTTGTTGCTTTTTCTTTATTTATTGATTTATTTTCTTTAAAAAAGGTTCAATGAAATAAGATGAATTTGAACAAAAGTATTTCAGTTGTTTCACAAGTTATCTCAATCTCTAGTATGGCATTTCTATTATACCGTATGTTAAACAATATCGATTACTAGTTTTGTCTCAGTTAAAAATTTCTTATAAATAAGTTCTGCAGATTTTCCTTGCTTTCTTACTCTTAGGACTAAGATTACTTAAATTTTCCATATGTGTCAAGACTAGCATAACAAAACATAACAAATACTATTTGAGTAATAAAATAGGACTTGCATTCAGGTATAGGATAAAATTACAGGCATGAAAGAAATCATGCATGTCATTATTTCCATTTTTTTTTTAACAGGTTTTTCACCATTCTGTAGGTTGCACATTAGCCACACCATAGTGCAAGACATCCTGAAAATCTTAACTTCAGAAATGATTGGCCCCAATCTGCTTTTCGCTTTCATCAATGCTACGAACATCCCAAGTTTAACACAATAAATGAACAGACAGCTGATGGTTTTAAGAGAAAATAGCTTCCTGTAGAATTTGGCCCTGAAACCAGAAGTACTGGCAGAAACTGTCAGAGCATGCTCTTTCCAGTAATGTATCTGTGACAACTGAAATATAACTTTGCAATGCACAAACCAGGTACATTTCCACCTTCATCTTATTTTCCTCCAACTTAAGTCTAAACAAATAAAAACTCCCAAGATTAAAAAAAAGTATTCAAACAACAGTGTAAACTTGATGTCAGTGAACATGTATCTCCTAATATCCTTCTGCAAACTCTTCTCACTGATGTAAAACTTAATGTACCAGTGAAATAACTAAATAACATCCAATACATACAAAATTATACACAGACCAGATGTTCAGTGCTGGGCTGTCTGTTTTCTTCTGCCAAAGTACCCACTACTTAAAAAGAAGACAATTTCAAGTGGTATATTTATTAAAAAAACCGCACAATAACCGATACTATGAAAGATTTTTTTGGTGCGGTTTCAAGTTGGTATTTGATATACTGCAATTCTCCTGTCTTCACATGAATGCAAAATAGGAAGAATCATGGAAGAAGCACGTTAGGCGAGTGACTGCAACACTACCTGGTTCAGAGAACACCTCAGTCCTTGTAAAAAGTCACTGCCAGCGTAATCTAGCCTGTCCAGTCATTTTCTGCCCAATCCATCCCCAAGATTATGGAATTGATAAGGACTGCACAGCCACTGTGATTTGAAACAACATTCTGTATCTGACATGCATAACAATATATATACGTATACTACATATATATTACATAGACACATACGTATGTGCATATATGTACTTATTTAAAAGAAATCTATGTCCTGCAGGTCAGTCTTTGAGGCTGCTTGATATTTGTAACATAGAAGTAACCCCCACGTGAACTCGGGTTGCTGATATAGCAGTAAAAGCTGCAATTAGAATGAAATTTATCCCACAGTTCTTAAAGAGTACTGCATGGTTATCAGTAAAACATATGATATGTAGTTTTATTTGTACGTGTAAACAAATAATGTAAATTTTGCAGTCATTTAGAGGTCTGTAGTGTTGATACATTCAAAACATGCTATATGTGCTTCAGTCTCTTCATTTGATTATGTAGCATTTTATTAAAAGAGTTCCTGGTAATAATATTAACTGTAGACTTACCCTGGCATTGGTCCATTTCCAGAAAGACTATAAACTTGACGAGGATTTAAAAGGTACTGAAATTTTCTATAAATTCTGAAGAGGTAAAAGAGACAAGGAGACAATATTTACTTATTTGTTTGGAATTTTTTTTTAAACCTATCAAATGAAAAAATTAAAGCAGTTAACACATACTGTAATTATTTGAATTGCAGGATCTCATTTATAGAAAAAAAATCAAATATTTGAACATAGCAATTATAATTCATACATACAGTGTATTGGGGGTATAAAATCGAGACAGAAGTGCTACAAGCTATCTGCAAATGCTGTATATAGACAGAAAAAAAAAAGGATAAGGATGACACAAGAAAAGGTGAGTCAAAAAAGCATTCGGAAGAGCCCACTGCTTCCTATTAAATTAATTCCATGGTAAAGGAGAGATTTATTCCTGAAATTTATTGCTAACGCAAAATTACAAGTATAGTTACAAGTGGCAAAAGCAAATTGCCTTTGCCACCCACCAAAAATGTCCCCATAGATTGAACAACGTCCTAAGAAAGCAAACCTATTGTCAGCTACATGTCCTTTGAATTATATTTGAATGGGAAGAAAATGAAGAAGATTCAAACCGATTGTTTTACTTAAATTATACATATTTTTAAACTATCTGAATAATAGGAAGCAATTTATTACAGCATGAAAGTGTTGTCCTACCCCCGAAGGGGATGCCACTCACTGCCCCAGCTCCAGCAAATATTTCTTTAAATGGCAGAATATTTCAAAACCTGTAACTTCATAAATTTGAGGTTACTCATCCTAAATGTATGACATGTAATTTTCTACATTGACTACAACATGGTAGCTGCTTCACTTCTTACATAGAAACAAGTAAGCACATGAAAGATTTGGAGACTTGAATGAATACATATATACCTGGGATCTGTGGCAATAGTTTAAATTATAAACCCCTGTTTCTTGCTTTTAATTTTAATGTTTATGTCCTCAAGCTAATTAATATTTTAATGTTTTTAGGAAAGCTTTTATTTTTCTACTGAAACATCTCTTCCTTTCTTTTTACTGTCTTAAATAAAATAGAAGCATAGAAGGAACTGAATTTTAAGTTAAAATGTTCATGTTTTCAAATTCAGCAAAATAAAACTGTCTAGACACAATCTACGTGCACATTGAGGGATTTTTTTAATTATTTTATCTTCTTAACAGCAATGCATAATTTATCAGGCTAGGTGGAAGACAAGGGTGCAAGAATACTGAATACAAACAAATTTATAATTATCTCTAAAATTGCCAAATTGGAACATTTTCTTAACTTTTCAATTATTTAGCAGTATCAGCTTCTTCGTACACCATTGTATTGAAACACACTCACACAATCTATTCCTGATGCCATTCCTGACAGAAAAAGTCAATGTGAAATGACTGGTTTCACTTTGCAAGCATGCACACATCATTGTCAACGGCTGTAATGATGACTAAATCAGACATTTGATAGTGGATTTACAACACAGTATATTTCCATTTCATTTGCAGCATCCTACCAATGTAAAAGGATCCTATTTTTAATTTTCTAGTTAGTGTGTGTAAGTTGCTTCTCAGTGACGTACAGGATTTAAACTGGTCAAAGATGCTGTTAATTTAATTTGTGTAGCTGACCATAAGAAGTTCATGAACAGTATTGTTACTAAGTCCCAAAGGCTTAAGAGTTATTTGCCTAAAAGTTTGGTGCTACAAAACATACTAGCCATTACCTACACTCACAATACTGTTGTCAGGTATCAGTGAAATGCTATAAAAGCCTTTTTAATAAAGCGGAAGCTAAGTATCTCTAGCCAAAACCCAGAAGTCCACCTGCAATAATGAGAGACTACATTGAATCAAACTTGAGTCAGTGCATACCATTCACAGGTACAGTCAAACATCAATACCAGATGATCACAGCATAATGACTCACTGAAAATGACACATCATGCTTCAAGTTATTATAACATATTTATGTATGCTAGTCTGTGTAAAAATCATAAATTGATGGTTCATTGCCATTCATACACCACCCAAAAAAGAGGAAGAAACTGCCTATAAACATTTACCTTCACACTGAACTGTAACTAGATGTAACAGTGTGACACATTCAAGATGAGAACATGGACAGTACTTTAGCCTTCCAGTTTCTATACCTGCAGTACCAAACAGCCGACTGATACATATGCCTCTGAATGTCTTGCTTCTGCATGCAAGGAAAGAACTGGACATGGTTTCCTTGTGACTGGAGATTGGTGCTGACAAAGCCATGAGGGAGGTAGTGGGTGACGCCTCAAAAGACAGCTTTTTGTGACGGAATGCAATTTCACGAACCAAGCCAGTTCATGAAATTACCACTTGTCACTACCACCTCCAGCTGGCTCTTACCCCATGACAATTTATCAACAAACAGTTATGCTTCTGTAACTGTTTGCAGGTTTATTCTGTGATCTGGAAAACTAAACAGATTCATTTTAAAATACAAATCCTCAGAAAAGTTTCTCCATTGTCAATTTTTCCCCTTCACTTCAATCATGTCTGTGATCTCAAAATAGCTGCACTGACATAACTGAGGAGGCAGAAAATCACAACAGCGGCCAGGAGGGCTGGGATCATCTTTAAACAGCTCTGCTGCTGAAGAAAATGCTCTTGAGCGCACCTTGGGCTGAGTTAGACTGAGCTATCTTCTGAAGTCATAAGATCATTACTTTAGAGAGATAAAAGAAAGACAGTCAGAAACTCATTGGCAATTCAAAACTGGCAGTAAAGTTGACTACATTGGAGAAGAAATTGGTCATAGAAGTGCCTTGCACGAACCGGGGGTTGCACCTTCAGTCACCTGGGGGGTGACTATTCCAGATGTGGTCTTAATTTAACCCTAAAGGCAGAGAGGAAAGAAGCCAAGGACTTCTCCCCAAAAGTAAAAGAATGCTAGCGATCTTCTCTCCTACACATAAGACACTTGAAAAAGATCATTTGGAACTGCTTCTACACTTTGTCTCAACGCTACACGAAAGCTTAGAAAGCCAGATTAACCAGAAGGTAGGAGGGAAAAGCTACTCTGAACCAAAGTTATTTGAAAACAACAAAGGTCAAAGATATCATCAACCTGTGCTGCACAGACACTGAACGTGGAGTCAGCAGGACACGTCAGCGTACGGAAGCTGATCTCCAGTGCATCCAACCGCACATTTGTCAAGGAAACAATTGTTTAAACTCACCTGCTGGTCAGGCAAATAAATTGGAAAATGGGGAAGTGGAAAACAAAGTAATGAGTATGGCAAAACAACAGCGTGATTTAGAAGGACTCTTATGTGAGAAGCATTACCCTTAACAATAACAGTCTTTAGAAGCACTACATGCTCATTGTATATTCTTTCTGTTGAAAGAAACTATTTTGTCAAGGAGGTACTAAATATACACATTCTATTCACAGATTATTGAAAGGTGCTGTCTTGATTGGTCAGATGTTAAACACCGACATACAAGACTCTTAGCTCTAGGATGAAATGGATGTACTGAAATTTTTTACTGATTAAATTAACCACACCTGTCCATTTTATGCACAATCACTGAAAACATGTTACAGTGCAATATAGCCTGAGGAAAACACCTGACTGAGTTTGCTGAACTCCTATACAATCTCATGCTTAATTAAAATCTATTTTTGGTGTGCAAAAGGCTTAAACTCATCAACCTTAATTCTAATTTCCCACTTTGTTCTTAATAAACATTGAATTACATTTTTGTTCTATTTTATTATAAGCATGTGTATTATCCATTGGACTAAACCATTTAAGTCCAAATAACTGTAAATGCATTTGTGCAGGTGACAGGCAATAAATATTAATCTCTCCATTGAGAAGTAAGTATAACTGGGTTATTTTCACAGTTTGTTATCTTGCAATTATATCTGAAAGTCATAGCACTGGCTTTTAGAAGAGAAATCTATTCAAGAATAATATGATACTTATCACTACACATTTTGCAAAACTGGCTTTCTGACAGAACTGAAGTTTTAAAACTTATTGATAAGATAATTAGATATGGTTGTAGAGAAAGTATTTTTGTGTTCTGAATACACTTTTTCTACATATCCATTTGTTTCCCACCACCCCTCTGTTCCAACATTCAAAAACCAAACCTAAAGCACCTAACATTTTTTACCTTAAAGTGATCCTCAGTTCTTTTCCTTTGCATTTGAGAGATTTGACAAAAAAAAATGCAAAATACAAAAGGAAATGACAGAGTATTATTGGGGGAGTGCATTTATTCAACTGGTTGTCAGATGGATGCGTACACTCTCTCCAAGTCTAAGGGCAATGAAATGGGCTGGGTTACCATATGGCAAGGCATAAAATCTCATACGGGGAACTGTGGGAACACTGGAGTCTTGACAGTATCTGCAATAACCTTTCTGTGTTCAATGAAAGTCAATTAGAAATCATAACTTCATTCACCATGATATCTCAAACATAGAAAATCCTAAGTAAAGACTGAAGAATAGCTTTCAGTAAAAAATGACCTTAATATGAATACTCAAGATAATGAAATTCTCATCCACAAAAATTAGTAGGTTTTGGGCTTTTTTTTTTTTTCTCCCCCCTTTTCACTGCTGTGGAAATCTTACTTTTGTTACAGCCTATCCTCTACTCCTAGCCTCTCAATACCTGACCAGATTACAAATTTGCTATAATCATATAGCCTGACTTGGATCACCATAACTGCATTTTGCAAAGCTGTTTGTGTCTTCAAATGTCCTGTGATTTTACTTTTCAGAACATAAAACTGCCACAAAATAGGGGGTGGGGGAAGGGAATATGGGATTCTTCTCTTTCTGGTTACTGCCTGTAGAGCAGCCAGATAAAAACCAGGAAAAGTAAGAAAGTTAAATATTATTGTTCCCTGAAAATGCTTTCATCCCTTAGATTAAATCTTCAAGCTAATATCCACTCTTAACACCCTTATTTTATAATTTTATGATGTTATTGGTATTGACATGAAACATTAACACCTAAAAGGCAGAGGGCAAAACCCTTCTCATTAAATAGTCCATATATGGACTTTTTTTTAACCTTTTTGAACCTAGTTTTAGATCTAATCATGAGATACTATCTCCTACTGGCGAATGACTTGAGATATGTTTACATGACTATACAGTTGACCTTCTGATGTGCTCCTCCTAACACAGAAATATTGAGGGCAACCTTGATACATTAATATGCAATTTAACAATTTATTTTGTGTGGTATCAAAGCTAATTTAAGAAGTTCTCATACTTCACTATACTCATTTGCTCATTTGCCTGCCCTCATCCTATACACTTTTGTGTAATGACACTTGTAGGTAATGGAGTTAGTGCATGAAGCGCGTATAAAACATTCATTTTTTAAATTCAAATCATTCCTATCTGCTTGGCCTCAGTAACAGTTGAATTAACATAAACTGAGAAGTGTCAGACTGCAATACATGAATGGGAATAGGAGCCTGGGAAGGGAATCAGGTTTTAAACTTGTTTTTACCCTGGAGAATATCTAACATTAAATGACATCCCTCGTGCATTAAGCCCATTCAGATAGTAACACTTGAGACCAATTATGAGCTGGGAACTGAAAGCTGTGAAACGGCATTTCATTACACCATTTCTAGGTTGTAACTAACTACGCAAGTGCAGATCTCTAACCTGCCTCTCACCTACATAATTCCGAAATGGATCCCAGATCTATTCACTTCATATTGGTACCATAAAAAAGTCAAGCTGAGTGCTAGTGCATTACCTTCCTCAACGCCCCCGACTGCACAGAAGACCAGGGCTACCTCACATGGCTACCGTGTCTGAACCACAAGTGCTCAGGATGGTTCAGATTGTCTTCTTGTGATTGCAAAGGCACATCCCTGAAGCTGCTTAGAATGAATCCATTAGATCATTAACTGCCTTCGACACAGCTAGCGTTGTTGACATTGCTGATATCTAAGTATACCAGTCCAGGGATTACGTAATCAGCTCCTAAATGATAACTTGTTCTCTAAGAGGTCTTGGAATGCAGTTTTGGCTAAATGTTCTTCAGCTCTGAGAATTCCCCTAACATCTACTCTGCAGGACTTTGTCCCTTCTGTCAGTTTACTTTAAGGGACGCTGTTTGAAAGAAGTGATCTAACGGAGGCAGTGGGGAAGAGGCAGGGAAAGCTGACCCACTTACAGCTTCCTTGCTTGGTTCCAAGCTTTAGAATCACAGTCAATCCCTCCTTTTGTACACACATCACCCAGTATTCACAGGTGTCATCTTTAGCCTGATCTTGGCCAAAAGACCATAACTTTTTCAAGACTTGAAAAATAAATTACAGCACTGACATGGTAAGATAGGCCACAAAAATTTGGGGATATATGTGATTATCAAAAAGGCCCATACTGTTAGCACTTGTGATTCTGAAGTACACTCTGAAGAATCTGCCCAGGGGTTAACTAATTCAGCATTTCTGCCTGAGTTTGATGGACAGATTAGGAGGAGAGAATGCTCCTTACCTCTATTTTATCATGCTTCTGATACACTAATATTTGAACATAAACTTAGGCATTTTGAATTTAAATCAATGTAATTACTGACATATATAAAATTAAGCATGTCTTTAAAGTTTGCGTGATTGGAGTTTAATACTTTAACTGGATTGTTAGAATACTTCCTACCTACAGAAATCAAAAGATTTCTTCACTGTAGGAAATCTTTTGGAGAAGCTGAAGAGTCTACTCACTAAATTTCTGAAAGGCAAGCCATACATTAGAAAATGTAATACTGTTTCCAATTTAAATTATTGGCCTGTGTGCATATTATTACAGAGATTAAAAGAAAACTGTTTTAACTTCAAAGCTGACATGGAAAATATATCAACTCATATCTTCATGCAACTCACGCAAAACTATACACTGAACATAGATACTTCTTCTGATGTGAAATGAAACTGTGGTATAGAACTCATTCTCATTTTTAACTGTAGAATTTATAACTATAGGCTAGTGTGTACCTCTTCTAAACAGGGCAATGGGAAGTTCATATGTGAGACATAACAATATAGAATGTTGGATTCCTTTTCATACACAAACTTTTAATGTACATTTTTAAACATATCACAGGTATCAGAATAAAGAGAGGGAAAAAAAAAATAATCCTTACCTTTCTCCTTGTTTCCCACCACTTTTAGGATTGACAAAAACTAAAAGTGGATGAGTGCCTGGAACTGGAGTGATCTAAAAGAAGGGAATAACACAGCCACTCATTAATGCTGTGTGTTGCATTCATTTTTTCCTATAGTAGACAGAAAACAAAAAGCTTAATGCAAACTCTATGTTATGCTACGTAATCCAGCTGGAAGCAATTCCATAATTTGCAATAATCCTCACTTCATTAATTTGCCACATATTGCAAGTGACTTTTTTTTTTAATGCTAGCTGTCTTGCAGCTGCAATGACATTTTAACCTATAATTGCATTGAAATATTGATATATATAGGTTACATCCATCAATAGAGAAGAAAACGTTAAATGCAAGAAATGCATGACTGATTCTGACAGTACAGTAATTTCCTATGGAAAAAGCTATGAAGAAACTGTATTTTGTAGTGAGAAATGACATATAGTATATAGGTCAAATATAACTATATGAAATGTTAAACTTGATGGAACTTATAAAAAATTTTTTTAAATGACAGAAACCTGCAATATTTGATATGATATGAAATTTCTTAAATCTCTTAAAATGTAACAAACATAACAATAATGAGTTCCTTTAAACACCTTAGAAAGCTGGAAAACTCAAAGTAGAAAAAGGACAAGCCTGAGGAAAAGAATGGAGAGGAGGATATACTGGAGGAAACAATGACTTCTACCATGTGTTTTAATTCTTTCATGCATGGAATGTTTTTCATGTTCACATTAACATTTAGCGTTACAAACTAACACCTTCCTTGAAAGTAATAGTGTTAGTCTGCACTTTCAGATAGTTTAAGACATGAGTGTTCACTGCCTTTGCTCCATAGACTTGAATAACATAAAAAAATTAGATCAGATGATCTCTCTCGAATATCTGTTTTTAAACCATAAAGCTAGAGTATTCATATCTAAAATTATCACTTTTAGACATATATCAATTCTAGAATGTTTAAAAATATATTAAGAGTTCAAAGTCAATATCTCCAAAGTCATGCACTAACAACACCAGAGATGAAGCTTAGACTGTTTCAAAATGATACATTGAAAGCTCTTGCTCCAAATCCTTATTCGTAATTCCTGAAATAACACAATCTTTTCAGCTGAAGATTTTATAAAATGTAATTTCATAGATGTAAGGCAGAACCCAAGAAACATGATAGCTAAGGAGTATTACAGGCATCCTCTAGACACAGGCATATAATCCTATAGGCATCTAAAAGCACCTCTACTAGGAAGTGTTAAGCACTACTGTGTCAACTCCATCCACAACTTCACAAACGATGGATCCAAATCTGTTCCAATACATAGAACAAATAACAAAAAACTCCAGCAAACTCAGTGGAATTAAACATAACATAAAACCAACCCAGTATCACATTACTATAACAACATACTGTGCCAGAAAGTGCTGTATGTTGAAACATATATCAAATTGCAGTATATAGTGAAGTTTGTCATATATTTAATTTTTATCTACTGTTTTAATCAATTTTAGTTATTTAGCCAATTCCCATGATGTTTGTTCCTGTGAACTAAGTGTAAACCAATGGTGCTCATTGTGACAGAGATGGACTACCTACTGAACTCCCTTAGGACGCAGGTTAATTAATGAGACTCATCCTAAGGTTATACATGATCTATTACTTCCTCTAATTAGAAATAATAATCCTGATCATTATGCTGGTTAGCTAGAAAGAAGTAAGATGAATGTGCTTAACTATGATTAATTGTCTTTAAGTCGTGCAGATCTCCACTGCCACTAAGTTATCTGCTCACTGCTGTCTGATGGAAGGAAGGTTTGGTCTTGATACTTTTCTCAACAAAAGCTAAATGATGAACTTATTTCTACTTTAAATCTTTTATTTCTATAAACCATATTTCTAAAATTATATTATTACAAGTACAAGGTTTAGCACCATCAAAAAAAAATCTAATAACCAGTTTGTATTCCTCTCAATTCCAAAATAAGGTCTCTTTGAATTCATTTCTTACAGCTTTTCCAAATTACTTTTCTAGATAATGTAGATCTTTCCATATAATAAACAATACAACTAAAGGTTTAAACTAAACTGGTGAATATTTTCAAGCCTTAATCTAGCATGATTTAAAGGCAATCCCCATAAAGTTACTGGACAAGTGACTTTAAAAAAAACAAACAAAAAAAAGAAGTAGTGGACCAATTATATATAGCTTCTCCCATACTGAAAACAGAGGTTTAAAAGGAGTAGAATGAAGATTTGCTGGATATCTTTGATATCTTATCTTGGGAACTTAAATCATAAACAAATGCAATCAACAAAATGATCCAAGTTTTCTGAATAAAAAACGTTCCAAAAGAAGTAAAAAAAATTATTTTGTTCTTCACTGAAGATCATGTTAAAATGAGACCATGCCAGCAAAATCAGAGTATTAGAATCAGAGTAGCATGTTTTGGCCAGATATGGGAGAATTAGAGTAGTATACTTTGATCAGCTACAGATTTTTTTTCTCCAGACCATCTTTAGGCAAAATACTAACATTAATTACAGTTATATTGATGGAAACTTACATCTTAGTGGAAACAGTTCCAAAATTATAATCTGTGCGTGAAAAAACCCCTAACAATCACTGATGCCAGCCTTTCACTATCGTATCCTTCGAGATCCACTCAGCCTTCACAATGATCAGGTTATCATTATTGATACTGATCAAAAATTTAATAGTTGGTGCTAAGATGGATTCCTGTTACTTGAACCACTATTATGCAACAGATAAAAACAAAACCCACAGTACAATCAGCAAATTAGGGTCACCAATGCAGAGTTATTTCTAATGTTATCACTATGATTACCAGTATTACACTGTGCACTACATTATAGATGCGGCATTACAGAACAATACCAAGCACTTCAGAAAACACCTCAGATCTGTTCAATAATTATTCTACAATCTTAGTCCTCGCTTTTTCTTTCTCTCCTTCTCAAGCAATAATAAACAAAAGTAATGATGAATCCTAGGCTTTGGATTCATCATGGAAAGAGAAAATAGAACATAAGTTTTGGATCATACTAACAAACTTATAGAAAAATCTTATGCCCTAATTATCTGAAAGCAGAAATTTTAATAATTTAAGGTTGTATGTGCAAGAGTCAGTGGCACTAGGAGTTCACTATTTTGAACAGAGCAGGCACTATATCCCAGGCACTGTATCGCATGAGTGGGAAAGAGAGACTTGAAAAATACCTGAAAATATACTGTGAGCATAACCAATCTAATGCTTGGGGTAAAACTAAAATTCATAATGATACATGGCGCTGCTACCGAAAGGAGATACCAAAGATGCTCCTCTATCTAGAGCAGTTGAGGTCACTGGAATTGCACAGTTACCACCCAAAAAGTTAGAAAACTGTGTGCTTTCTTTAGCACTGGTTCATTAGTCACACTGTGATTGATCAGACAGAACTTGTGCTTTCTGTCAATGAATACTCTAGCCTTTTTGCTTCATGCTCTGACACAGAAAATCTGGATAGCAATGCAGCTTGTGAGGATGGTAAATACAGGAACAGAGCCTTGAAACCCATGGATAATGACTACTATAATATCCCACTAGACCATCAATGGAGCAGCCATGTGACTGCATAGGTTTCAAGGTTTGGTAGTTGGGTTTTTTTTCCCCTTTTCTTTGAGTTGTCATAACAAGAATGTTTCACTAATCCAAAAAGATGAAACAATAAAATAAACCTTTCTGTCCTGACACAGTAAGTTGTATCATGAAATAATTATGAGGTATACAGCATTTGATATATGGTAATGGAATCTTTTACGTTTTACTGAACCTCAATTGCAACACATCAAAAGATACAGAGAACAGTCAACTTTGTACGTTAAATGATTATTACATTGTTATCATGATGATCATTTAACTCCTGAGGAAATAAAGAGGCAGAATCACATATGTGAACATTGATTCTATTCAAAAGTACTCATATCTCAAGTGATAGAAGCCAAGCAGTTCAGGCAGAAGTTCTGGCACACCTCTAAGTAACCTCCCTAAAATAACATTAGCTCATCACATACTCATCTTTCAAGTAGAAAAAACTTCCATTTTTATTCTAGATATCGCTATTATGGAAACCACCTTGCTTCTCTCCACTCTTAATTTTGATGTGTCAAATAACCTACTTAGAAATACCTGGAGAAATAACATCCTTGAAGTTTATTCCACCCATCTATTAATTAACAGGTCCAAATGAGAATAGTGAACAGTTATCAAGACATAGACTCAGATTTATAATGTAAATTCACACAATGCCGCATGATAGATACTAAAACAATCGAGTTTAACTTCATCCCACAATATAAGTGTTTTAGAGCTAGTTTTCCTGGACACTTAATAACTTAGAACATCCTACCAATCACGCAAGAAGCAGATTTGCACCGCAGGATTCCTGCACAGATGGAAGAATTTACCTATTGTATTTTTAAATATGTAAAAGAGAAATACTAGAAAAGTGAATGTATAGGAAATAATTCACTTTAAAAATTGCTCATTCTATCATTGTCTTTATACCTACAAGTGTCACCTTAAAATTAAAATAACAATAATCACACCTGAAGACCTTGTCCATCTACGGTGACGGAATTTGCTCTTTGCATTTTGTTCCGTTCTCCCAGTTTGTTCATTTGCTGGGGGACACTCTTTTCTTTTTTCACCGTTGCCTGTCTTTCCTTAAAAAAAGAAGAGAAAAGGAGAAAATTGAATGTTTTAACACATTATATAATGTCACAGAACTGTAACTGAGACTGTGCCTCCACAAAGTTGTTTTGTGACTAGAGAATAATGGTAATGTCAGATCCTGCTTTAATGAAAATGAGATCTTAGTCAAGGTATTACACAATGTCTGGCCACTTCACATAACATCTATCTATGTGCCTGGACATTCCATAATGACTAGGCAATAGATGGATGGAAAATGTGCAGTCACAACACAAATTAATGCAATGATGTGAAAAGATAATCTGACATTGCCAGGATGGCACTCTGAAACCTGAAAGCCAATCATACCAAATACTTGATTGTTTTGTAAGTACATTGATAAGAGATCAGCAATTTATCAGAATGTCATCCTAACTGCTAGCAAAGGTTGGATGCTTTAACCACTTTGGCAAAATATACCTGTTCTAAACGTACCATAATCAATTGGCTGAGTGGCTTTTTATAAAATTTGTATTTTGTATCAGAAAGAAACCAAAGTCCACATCAGATTGTAAGACATTGGCAACTTTTGATGCTGATACACAGCACAATCAGATGGTTATTTGAAAGAGGAAAGCTCAGAAGTATGTTGCTGTAATCATATTTTCAACTCTTGTCAGGTCATTTCAGAGAACTCTGAGGGGGGGGAAAAAAAAAGTCCTTGCTCTTTGTATCTCATTTATCCTATTTATAAACTGCACCCAGCATGTCCTTCTAGGTTGTCCAAAAATGCACCATAAATTAAGGCAGCAGATGTTTATAAAACAGAATCAGTGTCCCCAGTCCCGACTGCACCCCCGTCACTCTCCTCACTTCACAAGTACAAGGAGGCTTTAAACTAGTCAGGGGAATGGGCTGGCACAAACCTGCTGCGCTAGAAGGGAGCATGAAGGACACTGTTGCACCTCCTGCAACTGCACTCAGTAAGCAGTTCATTAAATGTTACCATTTACGTTCAGTACCAGGCCAAACACATCTCTGTGCTACCTCTGATAAAGCCTCAGGGATTGCATTAGCAATTAATCCATGCCTCTCTTTCTGGAGCAGTTTAAAATGTTAAGAAACATTGACACAGATTCCCTGGCAGGAAGGGAATAACTCCCAGCTTAATACAGTACCTTCTAATGCAGATGTGGACCATCACTGTTTTTATAGCGTCTTTAGTTTCCTTAAATTTGGAGACTGATACAGCCTCAATCTAGTCCCGATGCAAACAGTGGTCCAAGACATCCCAGGCTGCTTTGGGTAGCCAAGTGCTTTGGGGAACTGTGGCAATCTGATCACATTTCCTATAAAAGGACTGACAAACCTACACCACAGGAAAAAAAAAGGGGGAGCGGGGGGAGGGAGCCTGCACTATTTCCCGTATGCAGCTAGATTCCTAAGAGGTTAGTTAACTGAGCTCTTGGATGCTTTGAGTAACTCGATCAGTTCAAGAGGAGGTCCCAGAGTCTAGACTACAACATCATTGCTTTAAACAGAAAACAGTAAAAGCAATTAGAGCTATTCATCTCAGCTTTAACCTTCAAAACACACATAATCACCGTCCATATCACTGCCTAAGAAATCACTGACTCTGCACTTCACTATTTGATGACTTTTTAGAAACTAGAACTAGGATGAGGCATCCAAACAGAATAAAATTTGTGAACTAACACAAAACATCAACACAGAATGGTATTGATTAGTGCTAAGGATAGACAGCAAGAAACTTTAGTGTGAAGGATGCTTCACACTTTATTACATATATAGGAAGCAGCTTTTGTGTTTTAAATAATTTTGTGAATAACTACCCTTAAAAGTCACTACATTTTATAAAAAGTAAGCATACCATGTTAAACAGGATTTTATATTACAGACAAATCTGGCTCTTGGATATTGCAACATCTTCAAAGACTCAGATGTCAGTAATGCAGACACACAGCTTGTAAAAACCCCTGATTTATAACAAAAATCAGAGATGGAGAGCAAATTTTAAAAAGTCTAGAAAAACGTTAAGCTAAACAACATATTTGTGATAGTTCAAAGAAAAAGGTAACAGAAAGGAACAGATCCAGTACATTGAGTATGTGCATTTAGAGAGGTTAAAAAAAACACTGTTCAAAAGAGGCCTACTTATAAAGTGTGGCAATAAAAATCTTCTTGCATGTATCATGCTATTAGAGGAAAAGCATTTATACACTGCTGAGAACTGTCTTTACATAAAGGATGCTTGCTACAGTACCCAAACCTGCTGTTATCAATCACTCACAAGCAAAATGCAGTAACAATTACCTCAAGCAAAGTTGTGGATATTGGGTTTTTTTTTTCATTCCAGCATGATACAGATAGCAGCAAATACCTTCAGCTGGCCTTGGCCCCGTGACTGCTGCATTAGCAACATTGCTTCTCCAATTTATATTACCTGTCCCATGAGCAAAACAATTGCTTGACTCACAGACAAAGGCAGCTTCTCCTAAGCAGTGACTACACAAGATTAGGCCACACACCTCACACAATATAAAGGAAAAAAAAATATATTCATGATACAGAATTGTCTAGAGTGTTATTAAAAAAAAGAAAATATGCACACCTGACCTCATTATCATTGAAGGTCTGCTTCCTGCAATGATAATTTTTGAAGAAAGTACAAATAAAGTATTTCGTACCACACATCTTATATGCATACAAGACATGTCACTACATGTACCAATAGTGCTTTCTGAAACACTTCTGAACAAGCTGATAGGAGATCCTAGAGTTATATATCCTATAATTTTTAGATATGCGTCATACTAGTGAGCATCTGACTTAGAGTTTGTATAAAATAATACAGTGATGTGTATCTTAATTCTACTGAATAAATCTTTTAATTGCACAAAAAAAATGTACCATTTCATTAAAAAAAAATAATCTTTTAAATGCTCTTGCACAAATACTTTGGTTTATATATGAAATAGAAAGCTGGCTTTTTAATCCAGTTGTACATGACTGTTTGAATAACTTTCTGTTATGAAATATAACATTGCTATGCTATCTGAAAGTGTCAGGAACTAAACAGTGTAATTTTTTAATGAGATAATAACAGTTTAATAAAATCATCTGTCGATAATAGACTAGAAATTCTAGCAATGTTAAGACAAATTTGACATGCATTAAATAAATGGTTTTACAAAATGAAAAAAATTCTTTTTCAACATAAGAAACATTTCTACAACAGTTGTGCTGTATTTAATATCTTGTTAATTCAAGCATAGAAAATGACAAATGTACCTGTGAACCATTTGGTTTAGTGGCCATGCATGAAGTTGATAGAGATACTGAATACAGCATTAAAAAAGCTATTGTACATTTTGATGGCTCAAAGAATCAAGCTTCTCTGTTCTTTTGGTATGTGTCAGAGCACATACCTTTCAAAATAGTCCTTAACACAACAAATTTTTTTCCCACCCATTTTTTCACCTCTCATGCCTTTTTTCTCCCCTTGAACTCCCACTTTGAAGTCAATATCCATTCGCTGGAGCTTCTCCCATTCAGTATTGCTCCAGAGGGATCACTGTCAGATAAGAACTATTCATTTCGATCTACCCCTCAGCCATCCAAATAAGAAAGAAGAATGGATAAATAAGACAGGACATTTCAAATGACAACACAGAATACCACGTCTGGATTTTTAGTTCAGCCCCAAAATGCACTTTTATAACAAGAAGAATGTACAATATTATGATCTGTTAGTACTCGTGCGTACATGGATGCCTCCCGTTACGCACCTCAGGGAGCAAACCTCCTAAAGTGGGTAGCGTCTGTTGGAAAAAGAGAACGTTAGGCTGCAACACCGAACAGCTGGGATGGCAAGGGGCATGGAGAGAACGCTCATGAGGAACATTACCTTGCAGCAGTTGTACTTAACAACAAACATACACAGCACTTTTTTACACATTTTCACAACCGTGCTCCCCCAGTGGTTTGCCTGTCATATTATATAATTCATATTCTGGGAAGTATGTGTGGGATCATTTTATCGCCAGCTAAAAATATTCGAAAACCTGAGGACTATATTCTTTTGAATAGTAAAAAGAGCTGCTTGGTACCTGGGGAGTATTCTTTTTATTTTATCTTCCAAGTCCAAAGCAAGGAATCTTATTTAAAAAGCTTTATTCTACTACAATTGACAAGCTATACAACATTCCGCCTCAAAAAGTATTTCTGGTCTTTCTTTATATAGAGGTAAAGTCTTTTCCTTTACACAAAACACTCACAATGAGAAATACCATACTGTATCACAGCTGTTATAAGAAAACAGATGAAGTAACTAATGGCTTACTAAATAGTTACCTATTTACGTTTTAACTGCTAACACAGAATCCACTGCCAGTGCAGCAAAAATTGCTTTTTCTAACCTTGTCTCTTAATCAATAAGTGCAAATTTATTTTTCCGGATTATTTCTTACATAGCTGAGATTATTTAAATCCATTTCTTTCATACATTAAACAACAATTTATTTATACATTAAATAGGACTGTAAAGCCATTAATGAATGGTTAATACCACTACACAGTTTGTTGAGTAACCAGTGAAAACTTGAGATTCCTTTTGTATGATAATTACTTCTTTTATACTATATGCCTTCAGACGCTGCACCCCTAGCTTGGGGGTGGAAGTGCATAAGGAGAGAACCAAATCCTATGTTAATTTTTATAACTGTTTCAGTTTATGCATAATATCTTATTTTAGAAATCTGAAACTTCAAAGATATTGATTAGGGGAATCTGGCCATGGAAGAACAGATGGAATGCATGGAATACGGTCTAAAGGTATCCTCAGATGTTTGCAGAATTAAGGCCATGGAAGTTTAAAGATGTGACTTGAACATCAAGCTGATACTTGGAGGAAGGTTGCTTCATGATTCCTTAGAGCTATTTTGTTTAATGACATGGGATCTCCAAGGGATGCAAAAATTGTGCTTTAATATGCAATGAAATATTAGAATAGGTACTCCTGGACTGTCATTTTGTAAATCTATGTGGTATTCAAGAACCTTGCTTACAAAAATTGCATTCCATGCAATTTCTGTCCATAGTTACAGAATAACCAAAGAGAATCAAAGATTCTGACACCGTGAAAACAGCAAAAACCCCACCACCACTACCCCAAACCCCTGGGGAGCAATCTACCTATAATATCTATTGGATATCACATTCAACTAACTATGATTTAGACGTGTCAAAATATCTTGAAAATTTACTTTATAAAATTTTCTCCATGGTTCCAGCTCTAACCCTATGTACATACTAATCAGAAAGACCAATATTAGGATTAGGCATCATGCTGCCTTGAAACCTCATAGAGCTGTAGCAAAATACCCAGTTCTACATCCACGGCCTGAAGATAAAAATCATCCTGTGGACAAGATTAGTGACAAATTCACTAGCAAAAATACTGTCCAGTGAGCTGCACATGCCCATACTATAAAGGAAAGGTAAGGCTTCTCATTATGTCACCCCTCGCATTCAAAAGGAGGCATTTTGTCACCCATCTTACTAGTAGCTAAAATACATGGAAAAAGACAAGGCTGGAATGGAGATGATGTCATTTGAGAACACCTTCCAAAATAGCTGACAGCAAGACTGTTCTGAACAAGGAATTGCTACATGATAACTTTATAAATATACTTTGTGTTGATTGTTTAATATGTTTTAATAAAGATGTAAAGAATTACACATCAAAATCACAATCATGTATTTCTCCATTTAGCATGTCAACCTCAGTTCATTTAGTTGGCTGAAGATAACTTGCCTTACATCTTGCAACATTCTATATGTGCATCAACACACACTAAGTGTAGGGCCCAAGACTTTTAATTTTATTTGCAACCTAAAGTCAACTTGGGCTATAGAACGCAATTATACATCATCCAAGAAAGACAAAGAGTTGGAAAAGAATTTTGAAAATAACCCCATGTTAAACTACAATGGAAGAGGATGTAAGGAATAAACTTAGGGACAGACAGTAGTGATGAGTTGTGGGCAGGCAACTAGATATAACTTAAAATGATTGAATGGCTGCCATTTCAGTTTATCAGCATCTTATTATTTTAACATTGAACTGTGTTTGCCGAACAGATAATTAGTTAGGAAGATACATTTTCCTCCAGGGCAATTATTAATTTCCTTCTGACTTCAAAGAAATGAAAAAGCTCTTAGTGTAGATAAGCACACCATTATATTTCAAGTCTGTTTAAGATTCTCAGAGAACTGAATCTGCAATATGATACACAATTGAAAAAAGTGTTTGTTTTGTTTTTTTAAATCTGTTTCAATTGCTATGTCATTACCTAATAGCCAACAACCAGATTTAAATTTCCCTCTCCATAGAAGAATATATATTCTAATAACTCTTTTTTTTTGTAGTATCTTTGTCCAGAAACTCAGAATAAGGCTAGCCCTCAACTTCAAAGGATTGAGTTGCTCATAAAGATGCTTACATACTGCACTGACTTTCTGCGCTCCACGTTGAGCTCAGATTCAACCAAGTTAAAATCGATCTCTACTATAATAAAAACAGAAGAATCATTTTAGGATTAAAAACTGGAAAAGGGATTAAGAAAACTCATTCTTCAACCAACAACTGCTAATTCCCTTTTTCTCTCTCTACATCTCTGCTTTCCTATGTAACGTTTACCTACCTCACAGGAAAATAATATTACTGAAACATGTTATCAGACATGTAAAAATATCTATTGAACTATGCTACAATTATAATGCAGCCATTAACTATTCTATCTAGTCTCTCTAAATACTGAGAGCCAAAGAAAATTCTTGTACAATACTTTCGGTTTTAATTCTGTATTACTTTTTGCCAGCATCTCATCACACCTGCTATATTTACACAAAAGTTTGAAGCTACAGATCATAATGTATATTGTTTAGTTGCACGAGGCACACTGCTTAGCTAAAACATTTTTAATCTGCTATGTACATTGTTTTACGTGCCTAAATAGAATTAGCTATTAACAAAAGACTTTTGAACATTTATGATCTTGTACAATAAAATGCCAAACCAACTCAAACCCAACCCAAATCAGATACATCTGTTTCCTCCACCAAAATAAACAGCCATTTATTTTTTAAAATGAAGTCAAGTGAATTCCACTTATGATCAAATTTTATATTAGATGTATATAAACACATTTACTCTATGATGTATAAAAATTCTATATATATTATGTATACAAAATTCTCTCTATATATATAGAGAGAATTCTATATTTATATGAATAGAATTTATGCTTAAATGATTTTGTCCTAAAAAGTTATAAAAGTCTTCACTAGACAAAAGAAGAGGCAAATTTATTCAGAAAGGAAAAGATATAAAAAGTGAGTTGTTCCAAACTTTTTATGATGATGACCAATTTGTCCCAGAATGCTGAACAATGAAGTTGAAAATTGAACACAAGGGAAGGTATCCAATTTTAAATTTTATTTCTTTCACTTCTTGTCTTCAATATTTCACCAGACCCTCCCACTTTGAAATAAACTGGTTACTATGGAGACAATGATAACTGCCATATATTAATGTTCACAGTGTAATCACGGTACCTTATGTTTTACAATTTATTCAATAATTTTCTTTTTATTCCACAATTAACAGTTTTAATTACAGTTTTCAAAACCAATGTTAGAAATCAAGTAAAAAATAATTCACTGTAAATCTCACATAGACAAGAGGAGACTGAAAATCATCATACATTATGAAATAAATATCTATTTATTAAACAGTAGGCTTTTATTGGTTGATTTGTCATTATCCAAGGCTATATGTATTTTGGTTGGAAATAGAAAAATCTAATTACTTTTCTACAAACTTAAATATGAATTAGAACATCCTATGTGTTCATCAATAAATGGAGCAAAGTAAAGGAAGGCATGAAATGAAGAAGCCAAAATGGATGTTAGCATTTTTCTCTTTCTCCCTCATAAAGGGGCGGGAGGAGAGAAGCTGTACCATAAAGAGAGACCAATCTCTTCTCTTCACTACTCACTCATCTCATTGCAATATCCAGTCTTTAACCTGGTTATGATCTAATTCTGTACTCTTGGTAGGCTAGGATTCAATTGAGTTAAAGATTTTTAAACTCACTGCCAGTCAACCTTATCATGAACTTTCATTATGTGTATGTAATTAATTGGGTCCAATGAACAATATCAGCACTGAGTTATAGACTTTTTCCCCCCACCATGTAATTAGGATATAATTACCCACAGGATATCAGAATGATGCAAAACCTTTCCTCTAAATGTGCCCTCATTAGGAAACAAGTCTCAATGTACATTTATTCAATCAGTATGAATTAATTAAAACGTTACCGAAATAAAAGAGAGTAACATTAAAGTGTATCTGACATCTATTAAAAGACTATCACTTGAGATCTGCACACACAGTTTATAACAAAACTCATTTAACTTGAACAAAAAACTTCACCATACAATAAGCCTTATATACAGCAAACAGAAAAGTAAAAAGGACTAGTTTTAAAGTTGACAGACTACGTTTTACTAAAACATTTAAAAGTATTGAAGTGAGATATGAAAAACCCTCATATGGCATTGAATCTAGGCAGTTATGTGATTCTTTCATGATATGCACGCTATCAACTGTGTGAGTTTCCCCATGGTTTCTTTCTCAGCTGAGAACGTAGCTTATCATATTTAGTAATAAGGTTTGGTAAGTTCCACTTTGTACAGTTTTGAAGATAGGAGCCCTCTTATTTAAGTTAGACCAACCACCTAACTTTCAGATGACCAGGCATTTAGGTTCTCTCTCCAGCCATTAAGAAAAGGGACGGTATGAGAGGATCATGCCAGTCACTCCATTTTAGAGGAATCTCTCTTGTGTCTAAAGAGACCCTAAATAAGTAATTTAGAACAGTCCCCTGAGCCGAAATGACTATGTTTAAGGGGAAAAGAAATGTCACCCTTTGTGATATTACAACCAGGAAGGGTAGCTTTTTTATTTATTCTTCACATTTGCAGCAGTGATTTTGGATGTCAATGCATACCTAGGAAATAGAAAAACTGAGAGGATATGGACCTGAACAAAAAAATACTGCTGAGAGATGAGTTTGGTAGCTCTGGTATAATACATGGTGCTGTGAAATGCAATTTCTGAAAAAACGCTCTTCATCTCTGTGGAAAGAGTCGAAGACGGACTTCACAAGAACTCAAGAAATAAGACATGCTGGATGAGAAAGGTAAAAATATGAATGTCCTTAGTTCCACAAAAGAGAAAAGATGAGAAGGGATTTAGCCTGTACTCTTGAAGGAAAACTTATAAGAAGGTATCTGAGATGAACTCTGACAGTTTTCTGGAAGAAGCCTGGACTTCCAAAGCCACAGATGGAAAGGAGGGCCAAAACTTTTGGGAGATCAAAGGTACAAGATTTTCAACTTGCTATTTTCCCATAACTCCTATAAATTACTCTACAGGATAATTCTTCTCTGGTGCCTCAAAATACTCAAGGATAAACCAGATACAGAAGGCATTGTGGTTATCTGCTTTTCTTTACCTTCCACATATATGTAGCATTGCAAGAATATTATTCTCAGCTGATCATTGAAGCTAAAGGTGTGTCCTAGGTGAAAGACCCTTTCGCTGTCAGGTATATCTGATACATCTGAACATAACATTTCTGTTAACAGACACGCTTAATATTGTATCTTTAGACAATTTTGACATATTCACTGGTTTTGCTGTCGTTATTGAGAGTGCTGGTTTCACGTACATTGAAGTATTACATTTCTCAAAAGGAATCCCCGTAACAGGAAATGGGAGAAACTAATTAAAAAAATTACTAAGATAAATATGTACACTGTAATCAATCATTTCTAGGAGGAATTCCTATTAGCTAGGTCACTGATGTATTATTTGTAATGTAAGTATACTCAGGATTTTAATGCATTTTTGGAAGAACTACTAGATGAGCAAATATACTACGAAATTATAAAGTTGCCATTAAATCACAGTAAAATATATTTTCCACTCCTAACAATATACATTGTGCTGAAATACATTTTTTATATTACATTATTAGTATGTAATACTGAAACATGATTCTAATACAGGAAAACATATTTACTTCTGCTTATGCCTTCAAAATTTGCAGATAAAACAAACCTATTCAAGGATGATTTGACTCGAGTGGTTTTATATGTCCTCTAAACAACTTAACTAAACTCCAATTGTGGAATGAAAATCTTAATTCCTCTATCCCTCTTCCTCTCCTGAAAAGAAAATGGAGTTACGCAAATATAATTGAAGATGAAATTTCATGCTGAGGCTTTATTCAGTTTATAAGAATGGCAAACAATAAATAACAATAAAACAAAAACAGTCCAATAACAAAATCATAATGTCTACATGTTAACTTCTAAAGTATGACCTAAAATCCCCAAAATTAAATAATGTAATGCAGAATGTAATCATCCAACAAACTTAAAATAACATTTTTGCATTTATTATTCAGAACTTGTCCAAGTAATATAAAATACTGTTACAGTCAAATTACAAAACTACTCTTACGACTTTTCAAAAATATGAAAAAATATGTCATAAATATTAAAGCCAGCTTTCCATTGCTTTACCTTCCTTGATAGCAATGGAATAGTCCCAGTTTACTCAAGTAGAGGGCCAAAGTCTAGCATCCATCCCTTAGCAGGTTTATAAACAAACAGCCAAAAGGATTAATCAGAAAAAGAGTAATTTACAATAGGCATGAATGTTATTCGTAATGATCAGAAACAGGCTGAAGAGCAGAAGGTATATTTTCCTGGTTTTCCTCCCTGCAATAAATAATTCTTTCTTAAGTTCAACCATTTAATACTCTTATTTTGAAATATATTTAAAGTAAGAGGACCACATATCTGTTCTGTTGTGAATATGATGATGCTATGACTTTCATCAGCATAAAACACCCAATTTAATATATGAATACATAAGTTAATTCCGAAGTTTTTCTTTTTCATGATAAACTGGTCAGCTCTTTTCTATACAATCTACACACAGCATGCATTTTTATTTTCATAGAATTGAGTTATTGTTTTTGTGGACAGAGAAATTTACTGTCCATGACTGCAGAATAAAATATACCATAATGTTGATGCATAGCTTACTGCAAGACCAGTGTCATCATTCTAGGTAACCTCCGGCTTAGATCAGAGACCTCAGCACTGCAGATATACAATATGCATCCCAAGCAAAAACTGTCCATAAGAATAACTTCATTATTCTGGGAAGTTGGATCTATAAAAGATGTAAAATGTAGAAGTGTTCTGCCTATACAGTTTCTGGTAAGTACAGTCTGAGTAAAGTGATAAAACCTGAGTCAGCTTCAGTTATAATATGCCCTACAGAAAGTTCATTCTCACATGAAGGAAAATGCAATATGCAGAGCTTAAAGCACACTTGTGCCTATAAACTCATCAGCCAGGATTACACATTGTGTTTAAGGTTCACACAGTTCCGTGAATTTAACAAATACTCTGGCAGTCAGTCCCAGCATCATTATAGCTGTTACCTATGACAGAAGATTACACTTGAAATAAACACACGGACAACTCACCAATACTACTGGGCAGATTGATGTCGGTGGTAAAATATGGTCCTTCAAAGGTCCACAGTCACATTCAGGTTTTAGATGCGAAGCACATTTGTTATGCAACTACAGGAAGACAGAAAATGAAGATTCAACTTAGTCATTTTAATACTAAAGTCTAAGAATCCTAGAATGGGGTGAATTTAATTAATCTAATTATTACTAGAGTACTACAAGGAAAATAAAACAGACAGCAGTGGAAAGCCTCTCAGGGCTAACAAAACCAATGAATTTCTATTGAAGCAAAGAACAGTGGATCAAAATGTTTTCCAGTTTGGAAATTGCACATGCGGTCCAGCACACAAAATGAGAACATTGCATAGCAGTACAGTAACATCAGCACAGTGTTATTAGTGATCAAAACTTTCATTTCAGAAGACAGCTCCTTGCACTGAGCTAGGAGTTCTGTTCTACAACTAGTGGGCAATTCGGGGTAATTCAGGGCAACCTTTGGCATTATTGGTATAACTCTGCTTCCTACCTGAAGTTGATAAAGTCACTACTGATTCAGTTGTGATGCTGCAATATCTATGAAAATATATATGAAATTTAAGAGAATAATGTAGGAATATCTAAGAGCTTTAAGCTATATTGGGGAAAAATTTGGTCTTGATTGAATCAGTGTTCAGGCTTCCATTGACTGCTGAGGGACCTGAATTCCTCTCCTTTTTCTACTTTATTCTTAGCATTCATCTGATTTTCCTGCAAGCAATGAGAAGAGTTCTACACTGAAAACAAGGAATGAATATCTTCAGGTCTGCTGACTGAAAGAGTATCGGCTTACTTCTGTATTGTTCAAAAGATGGAAGGGAAAAATGTGTATATAACATGAACATAAAATGCCAGCAAATACTGATATATTTATTGAAATATTTTGCATTAGCAATGAAGAGTTCTTGTTGATATTTTAGGATTTAATGCAATTTAAATGTCTCTAAATAGAATATTTCTACATATGTATCCAGCCACACAGTACAAAGGCACAGTTGTGCACCTGGATCATGCAAAGCATTTGCATTTTATTGGTATACTTCAAAATATTATTAGAGACAGCCACAATAAAGTACAACTTCATATTGTGAAATTTGGTGAAAGTTTATTATTTTGATCTTAAAGGTCTTATCCAGCCTAAATGATTCTATGATTCCATTTCTGCATTGATACAATAAACTGAGTTAAGTTCTTCAAGTAAACATGCAATCCCCATAGAGATTAATATTTTATTTTTGAGAAGATATGTGTATTTGCATTAAAGAAAAATAGTCAGGAGAATAAATATCAGAAATTTTGAAGTCAAAATCTTATTTAACAAGTGATTTAACAAGTATAATAGGTAGCATACAGGATTAGTTCAACAGGTTCAATAGCTGTTATAAAATCTGCAGTTCAATGTCTGTATCTATAAATCACATTTTTCCAATGACTGATTCATTTTCCCTTAGATGATTTAACTATGTCAGTATGAACTCTATTAAAGTTACAATAAAATTGTACCAGTTGCTCACGTATATAAGCTTTACCAATAATATGGTCTCCGTGAAGTTATCTGGTACAGTTAATGTTGACACAACATTTCTGAATTTTGAACTGAATGACACCTAATATTAGCCTTGTCCGTATTCATTTGTACTGCAAAGTTACCTTTTCAGGCAGTTACTTAGCAACAGAAAATAAAAGTCTAACGAGTTTCGATTGTGAGGGTATTTTGGTACCCCTGTAATCTAAATCATTTGTCATGCTAATTCTCTGCCTCAGTGGTAAGGCTACTTGTACCATAATTAATGCACACCAGGCCATGTTACATCAAATAAAAGTATCTTCACACATTCAGTGGTAATTAGCAGCTTTGCTACTCAGTGGCATGCAAACTTATCTAAGAAAAAATAGCTTAATCTTCTTATTAGTCTCTGCTGATCTTTGACAACAGAATTGGCGCAGAGCAGACAACAGAAGTGGTAGAAGATACGTAGGGTTAATGAAAATAACTCTTTGAGACACTGCAATAAAATAATACGCATCTCTTCTCAAAAAAGTATTTTAGCAGATTTTAAATACATTTCCCCAAAATTCCCTTACCCCAAACCTAGCTCCTTTAGATTATTACCTCCCTCACAACCAGATACCTGCAAAGTAGGAAAAAACATATTTGCTGGAGAGAAAATGATGAAAAAAAACATTTACAAGACCATAGTAGAGAAGTACCACTACTACTGGAAGCGGGAATCATGGGCCTGGCTAAGAAGTCAGTATAACAAGCCTCCTAAAGTTCAGGATTTGATTCAGTTATTTGACGTTAGAAGTGACCGTATTAAGTTGTAAGAAGGAGAGATATTTAAAATGCATGAGAGAGGCTCAGAATTAGTTGTGTAATAACCAGCATCCTCTTACATTACAAAAATATGTCAGCTACAAGCTCTAAATGTGTTGTTCAGCTCTAAAGGAGTTGAAAACGGCTGAAGAATGTGATGATAATTATATAACTTCAGAATATCCATTCAAAATCATGCATCTGTTAGAATTTTAAAGCACCATTTTTTTCAGTAATAAAGTTATTACTGTTAACAAAAAAAGTTATTGCAATAGAATATATAGAATACACAGAATTGCCAGAAAAGTGAACAGGAGATTGAAAAACATATAATTTAAATATTTTTCAAACTTTAGAAATACTCATTTTTCACTTATCTGTCTAATTTACACCTGAAGCCATAAAAACTGAATGCAAATATTAATAAAGTTATTTTGAAAATACAACATTACTTTTACAGAAAATAAAAATCTTTAAATTACTGATGGAAATACAATTGCAAAATTGTAAACCTCAGTGCCACCATTTTCAATTTTGTCTGTCAAAAAACATAGGCCCATTTTTAATTGGAATTTTGATATTTAAGTATTTAAATATGCACACAAGGCCCTAAATTATTTTCAAAATAATTTCTCTTCCTTCTTCACAGTGATTTTAATGATAAACCATTCCTTGGAATTTACTCCGTGAATATCTGTTCTTATGGAAGTCCTCTAAATCTTGGTGTGTATCTTTGAGAAGTAAAAGGCCTTTACAAGTCTGGTTACAATTCACATGAAATAATGGGAAAATAATTTTTCCGAGGAGCTACAGAATCTGCAACTTCCTTCTACTTTAAGAGGGAGCCTTACATAATACGTATTTCTTGAATAACACACATATATTATACAGATGTAAAACCTTCTATATCTAGAGTGGAATACTCTTATTTATCTATCTAAACACAGATAGCCATTGCCTACACTTAATTATCTGCATGTGAAAATTTTGGATTGGGTGTTTTACTCTCTACATAAATTATGCAAATTTTGACAGCAATCTGGACTACATATTTGCTTTCTTCTAAAATACTGTTTTTTAAGTAATCATGACAGCTTATCACTGAAAGTATCCTGGATCTATTTTCTTTGATGATGTTTTATATTTTGTATTCTTGTGTTAAGAAAATATGTCATAAAACATGCAAACTTGTATGGTGAAAACAAACATTCACTAATGCCTCAGTCTCACATTACTATTTAAAACACTGAGCAAACAACTGCTGTTCCATAACAATAACAATAATAATATCAGCAAAAAAATCAAAAACCCAAAAAGAAGGCTGAATCTCTCCCCAATTAGATTTAAATCCTGCCCTAGCTAGGAACAGAAACACTGGCATTGCTCCTTCTAGCATGAAGATCTCACTTATAAGGGCAGTGTTCCTTGAATGTCATTAGTTTCAGTTATTGGTTCATGCTGAATAAGGAGCACACAAAAGTTGTATATATTAGACTTGGTGCACGGATTAGTATATTACCAAGATGTCTCTGCTATTATTTCCAGACACCTGAAATCACTGTATCCTACAAGATGTCCTCAATTTTATTTGCCTGTCAGTACACCACAAATTAGGATTTTGCCCTAGTGTCACAGTGACCTTGACTTCCCCCAGTACTGAAAACTCTTTTATAATCTCTCTGTAGTGTAGATTGGGAATTCTGCTCTTTAGAATGGCATATTATTTCCATTTGTATATTGCCTTGAAGCAGAGTGGACCTTTAAGCGTATTTGCCTGCAACAATTAAGGACTCCTATGAATATTCTGCATATGCCATTTCTTAAATGCACACTATCCATTCCTGATGACAAAACCTAATGAGACCTTTTGAATTATGAGGCGATAAAAGAAAAAGACAGATTTTTGTCTCTCTAACCTGTACTAAAGGTTATACTATAGTATACTCACTGTGATCTGACACCAAACACAGTGAAGTCCAGTCAAGCCTTGGTAACATTTTATAGTTTTGTGACACTTATCACATTTTGTTGGACAATTTCCTTCTACCCAGAAATGGTGCATTACCTGCAAAAGAAAAATGTGGATATACATAGAGTTACTAAATTAAAAGGTACATGGCAAAATTAATGCTACCCCAAACTTACATCAGTATTCTTTTTGGACTTCACATATGTTTTGATGCAAGATGCGGGAGCTCTTGAGACACAGCGCTCATGGACTGTATACTTGCAAACTGAAAAAAGAAAACATATTAATAGAAGTCGAGACAATGGTGTTTCTGACTACATTTTTATGAAACAAAAAACATTACCAGCATGCCATCTCTATATAATCAATCCAATCAGTCAATGAAAACTAAAACTAGACTGCTTTTTCCATGGAATACAAAAGGCCAATTAGAACAGGAAATATTATGCAAGTGAGAAATCCAAGAATGCACTATCATTGCATAACAGGAAATGCTTAATTAAATCAGAGCTCACTAAATTTTTCACAATAATTCCCAAATGACAAAAAATATTAAAGACAAACTGATGACTGCCAAATGGTTTGGTGTCATTTGCTGGTAGAAAGAAATCTATATTTTACAAACTATAGGCATGAGAGCAGCTGGCAAGCACAAAAATAAAAGCCAATGAATTTATGTTGTTCCTTCTATTGATTTATAAATCTTAAATGGCTGATTAGTCCATTTTCAGATAGCAATTGTTTTCATGCATTCCATGTAATCATCCCAACTTTAACTCTTACTTTCCCAAATACCGACTCCTGAGAAGCTTTCCTTTCCTAGCCCCTCCACACCAGTTTTAGGTAACTACTATTGTTGATCAGGTCTGTAAAGATCACACTAGCCGCATTTGGAAAACATACAAATGTCAGGGTACAATGCAAAGCTCTCCTGACTTCAACTATACAACCGTGCCTAGATGAGGAAATAATGCTACAGCCTATACCTGCATTCAATAGAGTCAACTATTAAAAACTGAGAATGAATTTCTCCCTGCATGGTATATGTCTCACGCTTTTGACCTCGAGAGCAATTAAGCACAAAGTACTTCTAAACACCTTGCTTGCACCTATTACACAAACCCAGTGGGAGGTGCAGCCATTAATCAGACAAACTGCAGGGAGTAACATTGTTGATTGGACCATGGAGGGATGGTGAAGCCCCCTGCAGTTTCCTTTTTTTTTTTTTCCTCCCACACTATCTAAAATGCAAATAATGAAATCTATAGCAATGCTTTGAAAATATAGTGAAGAAGCTCAGCGAGATAAGGAAATAGTCTAAGAGTTTTGTAAGTAGACTCATGCCCCTTGCTGCATGAAGTAACTGGAAAGAGCATGTGGATGTTCTTCAGATACTCTGGGATCATCGTTCTCACCAAGTAAATGCCAAGCACAGCAACAAATAAATTTTCAAGAGGTACACTGCAGCAGAGAAAATTACAGCTCTTGTAAGGCTGGTCTTTTTGGGGCAGTTTACTTTATATAACTCATCTATACATTTCTGAATACTATTGAAGAAGATGACCTACATTATTTGCTCAATGGAATTCTCTCTTTCAAACATATGCTGGGCTTATATTTCTTCACAAGGATTAAGTTTACATCCGTCTGACATAGAAGAATATTAAAGAATGTAACATATCAAGATCTAATAGTCAATTCAGCGTTATATATATTCCTGCAACTGTCATCAGCATTTTTTAATCTAAAGTTATGCAATTTCTATTTGTTTGAATTTTAATAAACATTCCATAGTATTGTGAATGAAATTATACAATGTGAAAAACCATACGTGAAAGATTTACAGCTGAATTATGTTTTAAAGAGATCTGTGGCCCTCCGAGGAGAGAGTAACGGCCAATTCCAAATCCTTGTTCATTCAGGCTAATCTCAAATTAAGTCAATAGAACTGTAGAGGCAGAAAGGTCCTGATCAGCTGTGATGGGCTATCTTTCATACCAAAAACAGAGAAAGTAAGTTACACTAAGAAACTGACTAATTTATCAAAAAGAACAATGAAAGGTGACTTGATATCATCATGAGAAGAATACAGTGGGTACTAAAGATCTCATTAATCTAATGGAGTAGGGCATAACATGAACCAATCACTGCAACCGTCTACCAGATATATTCAAATCAGAAAATAGGTCTTTGTTAAAAAAAGATGATCAATCATTGGAACACACCACAAAAGAAAGATATGGATCATCCATCTCTTGAAACATTCAAACAGAGACAAGGTGTCTTTCGGCAAGATTTGGTTTCTCAAGATAAAGGTTATGAGCTGGTCAAACATGGATTATTAGGAGATACATGGGTATAACAAAAGGAATTGAACTGTAGAAACTGCATCTAAGAGTCTAATGAAGGTCAAATTAGATGCAGAAGTTTTTCTGCATTCCTTTACCTTAAAATCTATAATCAGGTAATGCGTGAAAGGGTGGCAAGACTGAAATTCATGCTTACAAACCAAGTAAACATACAAAACTTTAGGAGCGTTACAGAAACTTGATTTCTGGGAAACTGGGATTTTTACCTTCACAATTAACAAACCAAGAATTCTGTGCAAAATTTGAATAAACAAGTATGGGACTTAGATGCTAGTCAAGCTAAAACCTATAAAAGAATATGAATAATTATTACTAAATAAATAAGCATGATACTTACTAAGAGAAAAGAAAAAGAAAAAAAAAAAAAAAAAGAAAAAATGACAGACTCCAAAGGGAACCGAGAGCTATTATAATAAAGAAAAATCCCTCAAACAACAGCTTTGAAAGCCCAATATCCTGAAAAATTAAAAATAGAACATTGAGCGCTCAAGCATAGAAGAAAAAGGGGGAGACACCACTGTGCTGGCAATGGGTTTGTATTGGGAAGCTACTAGTTCTTTGTTATACGGTGAGTGCAACATTTCTGGGAATAGACATGTATGCAAATGGACACTGAAATGCGTATACTCACAAGAACAGCAGAGACCTTGCTTGCCTACTCCGATTAGCATGTTCAAACAAAGATTACAGTAGGCAGGCTTGTTAAAGTGTTTCAGTCTCCATACATGCTGCCCATCATCTTTCACATTCTGCACAGGACATAAAAGAAACAGATTTCACTTAATAAAATAAACAATGAAATATATAAGTGCCAATAAAAATTGGAGATTGACTCGAGAACGTAAAAGACAAGCTGTTACTTCGTTTAATACTATGCACCAGATCACAGTATAATCATTCTAAATACAGAGGCAATGATACAATAAAAAATTCTTGAGAAGCTCATGGATGGCCATGTGTTTCAAAAACGACTCAGAAAAACACCAGGCTGCTGTCACCACTGCAACACAATGCTAGCAATAGGCTGATATTAAATTACAACTAGTAATAAGACTTACCGAAATTTGTTCTAGGGTAATTCTAAAAATAAAGGTGCTGCAGATTAGATGGTAAGACTTCCCCAAATGAACAACAGAAAGGATTTAAAAAAGACTATAGAGATATTTTTAATGACCCTTAGAATTAGGGACATGTGTCAACATATGTGAAGTGGGAAATCTAACCACACTACAATAATACCTATTGCCAGCTTTAATTTATGTTAAACTACTGCCAGTAGTCTATCAAAATGCAAGTATTTAAGGGCGAGGTTTACATCCTGGATCTCTTCTCTAAAAATTGAATTCCTTACATTTAAGTCCACATTTTTCAGTTAGCTACAGCACTATAATCAAATCTTGCATGAATAGATTGATCAACTGATCGGCATTTACAACCCAGGGGCTCCCTGTAACTAATGTGCGCAACTAAAATATTATCAAAACATTTATGTTTGTGAAAGTAAGCTTTCAGTTGCATCATTCTTCTCTTCCTTCTCAACAGACTCACTCTGAGACCTCACTGTTATTAGAAGGTTTTTAACATGATGTGCACTTGGTACAGATGTTAAATTAATTCTGTAAATTCCAGGTTTCTTGGCAAGTGTGGTCATCAGGCTTTTTCTTTTTGCAATCATCAGAGGTTATGGAATTTTTTAAAAATTAGATTAATCTAATGTAATATCATTGGATTTGTTTTATTTTTTCTTTTATTTTTAACAAATATAACATCCAATGGAACAAAGGCAGTTAATGTCTATCAGCTGGAAATGGGCTGCGGTTCTTCGTTGTGTATTACTGAAACACTATGGTCATCTTGGTTATTTCATTACCGAAAAGAAATTTTCACATAGCTAAAAGAAGCCACATCAACAGCTGGTTCTCATCCAGTTTCTGATTTCTCACATCAAACTATAAAAATATTTGTAATCATGTTTATACAATATTCCTGACTTGATCTTCAATAATATGATGGTTTTCGCTGATAAGGACAGTCAATGTAAATCAGTGGACATAAATGTTAATAACAATTCAGTTTTCTCCTATAGTAGCATATACTGCATGAGTTATGTCCTTAAAAATCAGTATTGCTCTATTCTAAGAGTTAGCCATTAATGACAAGTCAAAGATGATGAAGACTACTTCATCCTTGTGGGAAAAAATCCTGAAGGAAAATTAGCACTCCAAGAAATGAAGCATGTTTGCTCCAAAGCCAGGTCCTAGCCAGAACACAACTTTGAATAATTCCTACAAATTCCCTAGAAATAAAAAGAACCAAAATCAGCTGGAATATTTCTTATTTGTTGAGACATCAGGATCAGAGCCTAAGTGGAGTTTCCCCAATATTATCAGCAGGAGATCAAATGCCATCTCTGACAGCTGGGCAATGTCAGGGTCCCCTTTCTACAGAAAGAGCAGAGCAGATGCCTAATGTGGGATTCTTGGGCTGGCAAAGAGTGTGGAAGTTTTCCAATTTCCCCTGAAGATGCAGAAATAGATTCTGCAGCTGTGGAGCACTAGAAGGCTGTCAAGCTCCTTCATGACTGGCAGGAGAAGAGGATGTATTTCATTAAATGGAGCTCTGTAACTTCTATTTTGCTTTCCATCTTACCCACATTCCACACATTTTTAAAGTATTGTTTAACTACAAGACAGTATGTGAGTTTCAAGTCTTCTGAAAGTAGACAATTATTCACTAAAGACCACGTAAATCCTTCCAAGTAAAAACAGTAAACAACGTACACTTTCATTTTAACATTACTCAGGTCATCAACAGATACAGTCATAAACCACAAGGCACTTAAAATGCAAGGTGACCAGCTTTCCTTAGAAAAATATTTGCTATTTATGAAAATTAATAAAAATTCATAATTATGCATAAGCTTGACCCTCTTCGACATTAGTTTTGTGTTACTTTTTAATTTTAATTTTAATTTTATTTTTAAAGAATGGCCATTACAAGTGAATATGTTGCTTCTTATTTGAACAGAACATATGGACTAACTTAGCTGGCATTTTCCTTATCAGAAAAACAAACAAGTCTTGATGTGGGTGTTCTGCCAATTAAAACACTTAACTGTGTTACAGACTGCAACTGATGCAAATCCATTACATAAACACAATGCACTTTTGGAAAATAGCAAATTAAATTTTTGCTCTTGTGCACTGCCAAAAATAAGCAATAAAGTGTTGCATATGATTATGCATGCACATAACTTTTTAAAACACTGCCAAGGAAAAAAAAAAAAGACATAATGTGAAACAAAGCCCCCTCAATGCAAGTCTTTAAGTATGAATAAAATCCACAATTCTGACACATCAGTGCATTTACTGACATTCACTCATTTTGCTTCCATATCCTGAGAAAGAGTTTAAAAACAAACAGTCATTAAGAAGATCTCAAAGCAGAGCAGGTACAGTAAAAATCTCTTCCTCACTTCATTATACATCACTGAAAATTAAGCCTCCATATGCCATACACAGACTTTAGCATATAAAGACAATAGTAACATTTATTTTGTTAACAATGGTTCTCTTAACTTACGGTTCTGACCCTTCTACCATGGATTTGATTATCAGAAAGATCTGACATTAAAAAGCAAGTCAACCATGGAAGAGCCAGCCTTAGAATTAGTGGAAAATTTTATGCCATCACAGAATTTAGTTAGACATCCCTAATCTTGTTTAATATTCACTTACTTCAGCTTTTTAGAGATTTGTCAATAAAGGTAGCCAAAGAGATCTTCAGATGTCAAGCAGAAATCTCAAGATTCTGAGACTTAACAAGGTAATTTTCATCCTAGTAAGCATCCCCTCTTACAATAGCTGCAGATTGTCTGGAACACCGGCATGCTCAGTCTTTTCTATGAGAATAGTCAGTAACAAGCAACCAAGGGAAAATCTTGGATGTTAGCAAGTCTGCTAAGTTATTCTTTCACTGTCTACTGTTATTTTGCTTTGATTTATTTTTAAAAATATTTGCATGACTTTAAGACATTTCTATGACTGATCTTTGGGTATTGTTCAGTCAGTGGGAAGGTGAGAAGGATATCCATTAAACCAAAGAGCACTTCCTTTTAATACAAACGCAGTTAAGTTCTTTGCTGATCTCAGCAAAGAATTCACATCAGTTTTTGTTTTATCATCGAATCATGGAATGGTTACAGTTGGAAGGAACCTTGAAGATCATGTACTTCCACTCCCCCTGGCATGGGCAGGGACATCTTCCACTGGATTAGGTGGCTCAACGCCCCATTCAACCTGGCCTTGAACACTTCCAGGGATGGGCACCTACAATTTCTCTGAGCAACCTGTTCCAGGGTTTTACAACCCTCAGAGTAAAGAATTTCTTCCTAATATCTAAACTGAGTTTGGGCTGGGGAGAGGGGATTCTATGTCTCTTGTGGCTCAACTGCAGAGTGAGTAACTTCATTCAAGAGACGCGCTACTTGGTAGGGCTCCTCAAACTTCTGAGATATTTTGTGTGTGTCCCCAATGTGTGCTGGAGAATGGAAAAAGAAAATTACTTCCCCAGCCTTCGTTCACATATCCAGTGTGCTATCCTGATCACCCAGAAATGCTTAAGCATTAACATGCACATGAGAAAATGACAGCACAGAAAAGAGAGCACAGGAGGGGAAATAAATTTGTTTAAACAAGCTTCATAATTAGCCACACTACCATGTTTCCCTGTCCCTAAACTGTTAGTCACCTGTCATCTGCAGGGATTGAAATGCCACAGAAATTACATTTTAAATAATGATAAACTTGTATACCTCGTGAAATACCATTTATTTTACATGTTATACACAGAACAGGTTAGAGTTACCTCTGATTTCTCCAGGGCTTTTACCAACCTATGAGCAAAAGCAAAGGATGGACCGTAGCAAGGAAAGGCATTTGCAAACTTCCTGCAGCGAAGTGCGAGAGAGCACAGCATAAAAGCAGACAGTGCTGTCAAGAAAAGATGTGTACTTTTTTAGCAGCTCCCGCTATGGAGTCTCGCAAAGAATTAACATTACGCCCTCTGCTGGCAATGCCATGAAATGATACTGGTAAAATAGCTCCGGTTGTCACTTAGGGTGACTGCTTCCCAGCTGGTAAGGAGCTGGCACAACGAGGGCAAGCTCCAGCTTCTTCTAGCAGGGGCTTGGGTTTGCCCTCTGTACATATGGAAATAGCATATGGCTCATCGGCACTTCAGCCTTCTAGAAAACTCACCCGCCAAACTTCAGAAAGGACTTATAACAATATCACTGGAGAAAATAAAAGGCCAGATCACCCTCATTCCTGGCTGAACGAAAGAAATACAACTCTACCAAACTGCTTAGGTATTAAACAGTCATTTCGGACTTCAGCCTGAGAGGGACTCCTCATGGTGCAGCAAACCCCACACCAGACTTGCAAATGTTTGCAAGTTCCCAGTTTGGTTCCACTTTCACATACTCAGAGCTCAAAAAGTAAGCCAACAATAACATAATATACAATGTAAGAAGCAGTATTTCCCAAGTATGGATTCACACTTGAATATTACATCCCATATTTAATCAACATGGTTAAAAAAGAGTTACCTATTAAATTCTTTGAGTGTAATAGCATAATATTTACTGCTCGAGGATCCAAAATAAAATTGTAAGAGTATTTCCTTCTGATTTAATTGAAGCATAGTCACACTTCAACACAAATGTGTTTGTCTCGTTGAGATTTACCTTGATTTAAAAGATGAAATGGATTGAAAATTACAATCGGTGATTTAAAAGACAGGCACAGTCACCTGGTTTCAGATTATTGATGACTTTACTAAGCATTTACTGTTGTTACAATCTCTCTCTCATCCTAGGGCAGCTTTTCAGCAACTGTACAGTACCAGATACAGTGCAACCATGACATCTAGTGGCCAGTGAAGAGGGAATAAAATACTTTCCACTCCTCAAATGCAGGATTTTTTTAAAACTAGCACTTACAAACTTACAGTTTATACCTACCTTTTGTACAATCACCGACAGAGGTGACAGTAATGATTCGTTACAAAAGAAGTGAGACCAAAACATCTGGCATGGAAATACTTTAGAAGAGAAATCAAGTGCTTTTACTAGAACAGGGTGGAATAATATTGTGCAGGTGAGGAACTTCTAACAAAGAGCAGAGTACAATGTTCATGGATGACAAAACCCCTTAGGAGTAAACTGTCATTAACTGGCTTTTTGTGCCCAGATTACAAAGGACTTTTTAAACAATGCTAGGAGAGTCAATGGAGTAACTCTCAAACTTCACTGACAATTTTGATCTACTTTAATTAACACAGAATGGAATAAAAAGCTCAGAAATTTTGAAGGCTGCTACTGTGGAGGAGTAGAATAAATAGCCTCATGGTCACTAGTATGCAATAGGCCACTTCCCAAAAGTGTAATTATCAACCAGGAGTCATGCAGGAACTCTTCTGTCCAATCTGTGTTTTGATGGGAGTCAAGCAAACTATTGCCTTAAGAAGCAATAATAAATTTGGAAAGTTGATGAGGATGGTAAAAAATTGCAGACTGAAGTGTGACACTCAGCAAAACTCTCTACCTCATACATTTATTAAAAATTGTGCCACATAAATAACAATTTCCTCTATAGTTACCTTTTTTTTTTTTTTCTTCATTAAATTCTCGCTTTTCATGAGAAAATTTCTTGGAACAACTTCCATGAAACTGGTACAACGAAATACCTCAGAAGAACTATGGGTCTTAAAGATAAAGGTTTCAGTAGGTGTGGTACAGAACATACTCAGCCACTGCTAAGTGGAAAAAGTGTAGCCATCCAAGTACAAATGGATTATATACATAAACAATTTCATGGTCTTTTCTCACAAAAGAAATTTCCAAACAGTATGTGTATCACAGTACCCCTATAGAATAAGAACCAATTAAGTTCTTACTTAAATTCCTTCTCTTTTACTGAAATTGTTTGTTTAGCACACCAATTGCCTTGAAAAGCACCAAAATAAGAATACATTGTTTCTATCCTGGAATACTCCCAGAGATAAACCTCTGTATTTCTAAATCCGCTCTTCACAGCAACTCTAAACACAAGTTTTAGGAGGAAATAGAAAGCATAAAACCCAGTAAGATAACATAAACTGGATATTTAGATTGATTTCCTAGAGAAAAGAGATTTTTTTATGCTCTTTGTCCCTTTATGTCCATGACTAAACTGCTCCAGCAACTTTTACATTAATTCAGTAATCCCAACTAAGTTGGAGAGGGCACTACAAGTTTCATGAAAGTCTAGAAAAAGGGCAGGGGGAAGCAGGGCAGAGAGAGAAATATCAGAAGGAAAGTCAGGCAGATTTCCTTGGTTTCTTTTTTTAATTTGGCAATAGTTGTCTGGCTAATATTTCTAGCAACATCCTAATACTCCTGTCTTTCAGAAGGAGCTAACTGATGAAGTCAGAGGTCAAAGACGACAAACCTGTGAGACATTAGGCTATCTCAACCCCATTGTTTAAAAACACTAACTAGTTTATTCTTTCATTTTCATATAATATAGTTCCATATTTCACTTAAATGCTACTCTGAATTTTCTTTTGGATTATTGTAACTAAAGCTTCTAATATAGTATGTAATAAAAACTGATTGAAAGGCTTTAAATTTAATATAAAACTTTTATATTATATCTGACATTTTATATGGTTCTTGAAGGAAACTAAAGATTAAATACAAACAATGTAGTTGAATTCTGAAGGTACTATGGCAAACCTTCAGCTGAAATAAATTATTGCAGCTTCACTGATATTAGCATAACAAATTACACCAACTGAGAATCTTGTGTTGTTTGTACAAGGTCTATACAAGGGTTGAATATATCACAGTGAGTTAATGAACCAACCCTATCCCCCAACCCAAAACAAATTAAAGACTTCACTGGTATCATAATTTATTTTTTTTAAATAAACTACACTGACAATTCCTTGTCATTATCATACTGGACAGGCTATGAAATTGATCTCTTGGATTTAAAATTTTATCATTGTCAGAGTTCAGTATAAAGCCAAAGCGTAGTTGGCTAAAGTCAAAAGAAGGTGAGAGAATTGTTTGGTTGTTTGGCGTGGGGGGGTTGGCTTTTTCAACATGTTAAGACTACCTGGACATGTCTAAGCAGCATAAGCCAGTAGGTTATGGCCTTTATTTTCACATACTAATCAGCCTGTGGAAAACTTTAAGATATCAGAACTTTATTATTTTAGTCCAAAAGACTCTTATTTTTATCTTAGTTTTCATTATCATAACTAAAAGGAGAGAGAAAGCCAGCCAGAAAGCAGAGACCTGAGAAGCTAGGTTTTTAGAATCCAACAACAGCATGTGAAAACAAATAACAGCGTGCCATTAATGGGAACGATGCACTGGAATGAAGAGCTTGGGTAACACATTAGATGCTGTAAAAACATCAAAATCATGCTATCAGTTTACACAAATAACAATGGACAGGTATTAAAGAGTTTTAACTTTCTTGATTTAACTTTTCAATGTCCTAAAATTTACTTAGATTTGATCACTCATAACTGTACAAACAGTAGCAGCAACTTTTTTGCTGGTTTGATGGAAAATATAAGATCTGGCTTTTCTCTACATATTGCATGAATGGTTTAAGAAATCAAGAGCACCTTTAAACATTAAAAGAAAAATGGGAGCCCTTTTAGAGGATGGCATCATTTCCTAGTAAATCATTAGCAAATGAGTAGTAGTTCAGCTTGCACAGTTCTGTAGGTAATGGACTTCATTCACAATAAAGTAAAATATTAAAAAAGCATTAAAAGCCACCCCATCCATTTTACTCCAACTTTCAACTCATAAAACTATGCCTATTGATCAAAAAGATATTTTGCATACCATTATAATTTTTCACAACTTTACGTATATGTCTCTTCAACAGAAGAAACACACGTTTCTTGATGAGAGAAACACTGATGCATGCTGATAGCAGACTACAGAATTTCAATCAGTTTATCGTATTTTTATTATTTCCACAGTAAAGCTATGCACAGCAAGATAAATTATCTAATAAGTATTAAAATACTCGAAAGGATAAAATGTCTGACAACATGTATTTACATAGCTTATTTCTAATTACACAGCTTTTGCTTTAATATGAAAATAAATCTCTACAGAAGGATCTGCATTAATTTATCATGGAATTTATTTTTAAATTTAGAAAGAAGGAAGTGTAGACACTGAAAAATGCTCCCAGAACAGCTACACTACCTGTCACTAAAGAAAAATCTGTACTGAAAATGACTACCAGTTATCTGCTATACTGATTACTTGAGAGTATTTGCTGCCCTTTGTTTAGAGTAATTCTGTGGAATACAACCTGATGAAGATTTTTTGTTTGATGACAGGGAAGTAATTTAACATTTTTGTTACTCAGTCACACATATAGAATTAGGGAATTAGCACTTACAGTGATCTAAATGTACTGAAGGTCATCCTCAATTCAGATATTTAGCTGATAATTTGATTAATAAGATTTTGCAAGAATTTTAGATCTTCTGCTAAAAGCACTGTTTTGTTGCGTATTTCCCTATGAAAGATCTCAATCTGACCATTCTTTGAGAAAATAAAATACCATAGAGCAACTACAGAAGTCTAAGTTTAGTTCAGGCTGTAGCAGTATATGGGGAAAGTAAATATTATCTATTATTTCACCTCAGCATCTGAAAAAGACTTCAGAAAAAAATTTAATAAAAATGTTTTCTATCAAATAACAGAAAAGCATTTGAAACATATGCTAAGATACATGTGCTCAAAATTAGCTCAGATACAGGACAGCAGGTGGCACTGGCAACACGCCAGTGTTAAAACAGCTGTGTTGAACTGGTATTAAATGAATCATATTACATCTGTCTTATCTTTAATGTGAAGTTGTAAATGTACAGAGCATAAGCTCTTCTTTCATAACATTCTATCCTTTGGTGTAAGTGTTCTCTTTGATACTGCTATTTAGTAGTTTATTCAGGTAGTTTGAGAGACGGAAGAACTATCTTCACAGGGATTTATCATGACAGGACAAGAGCCAACTGGCAATAAATGCTGCAGAAGAAATTCCATCTGCACCTAAGAAAAAAGCTCTTTCCCTTGAGAACAACTAACACTGAGGGAGGTTGGCCGCAGACCTGGTAGAATCCACCTCACTGGAATTATTCAGGACTGGGCTTGACAGGGCCCTGGATAACTCAATCTGCAGCCCTGCCTTTAATAAGAGGCTGGACCAGGTGATCTCCAGAAGTTCTTTCCAACCTAGATTGTTCTAGGACTCCATATGGTTATGCCACACAACACAGCACCATGCTGAGAAGCCTAGACACTGCTCCAAGCCAGCTGTAACATACATATGGGCAGTAAAACGTTCTTAACAGATAGCACCGTAGCTAGGAATTAACAATATGCTGTTAATAGGACAAATTATTCAGCTTTTCACAACTTCCCGCTCCACAGCTGGCTCCTTTGGTGTTGCTTAAAACATGCTAATGTACCTCTGACTTTGAAGACACACTTATGTTCTCCGCATGTCATTCTGCCATAGTACAAAAAAAAAGAAAAGTAATTCTTTATATAGGCAACAGAGAAACTAACTGAGGGCCACAGCTGACATGCAAGCAGAAACTTGACATTTTTGTGTTAATACTTACATTCTCTAACCCAAGGAGGACCAAGAGTGGGATTGTTGTCATTCCTCCCTGGATCCACTCTTCTAGAGAAACAGTGCCATCATGATCATAGTCAATTTCTTCCATCATTTCATGAAGGATCTATACAGTTTAACAAAAAAATCTCATAAATTCCATATTCTAATAATGCACAAAGGTATGTGCAGATCTCCAATTCCATCATCGACATGTACAAAGCAAGGAAAATATTATTTGTATGGCACTTGTATTAAAATGAGTACTGATAGTTCAGAAAATGAAGTGTCATATTCCTGTTTACATTTTATTATCACCTAAAGGTCCCAAACCAAATTGTGTCCCCTTGTGTACTTAATATATACAATACAAATAAGAGGTAGTTACTTTTCAGAAATTTTCAGAGACAAAGCAGTTGTGTTATAAAAGTTACTTACAACATATACTGAAGAAAAGCCTTAAACTGCAGCAAGAATGTTTCGCAGATCAGATTTAATCAGAAAAAGACTCATACAAGTGCTAATTAACAGTGTCACAGGAGAGCACAGACTATTATTATTTCTATCTTACTAATATATAGAATCACATGCTGACATGAACTATCACAACATGATTAAACGCCATCTCTAGCAACATTAAAAACTTGTGATGAAATGGAAGCTTACTGGACTCAGTTCAGTAACATCCCATTCAAGGTATTCTGCAACATGCATCATTTGAGCAATGATATTTTCCAGCTCCTACAGATGAAAGAAAAAGAACGATAATATTTAATGAAACATTATAAAGACAAATTCTGCTGCAAGTAATTTATAATTCAAACATATTGCATTCAGTGACATTGTTTCATCAATGTTCCTAATGAAATGTCCTTTACGCTGGAAGTTGTGCACTCTTAGGTGAATCCGCTTCACTAGCAAAACATCAAGCATGGACCGCAAAGCATGCAGGGAGGTGAAATGCAGCCCCACAGTTAAAGGACAGCCTCTGGGTTGAAAGCAGTAATAGATTCTTCTTTCCTAGTTGTTCATTCAACCATTGGTTTCATGATCTGAAGTCTGCCCTGCGATATAATGATGTAAGGTCCTTTAAATTCCAGCACCCTAACAAACTACTTTTTTGACAGCAATTGTATAATTAACAACTTTCTAATGGAAATAAGGCATAAAGTGGGCAGTATAAACTAATACAGACATATTTCCTTACCATTACAGTGCTGTTATTTTCCTCGATCGCATATCACTAGTGCTTTTCCATATTCATATATACAATATGGTTTGTAAACACACTCAAATGCTTATCTAGAACCATTCTGAATTCTCATGTGCATTTATTATGCGTTAATTATCTAATTAATATTTTGTATTGCCTAAAACAATGATACAGTATTTACTTTATACTGTTATGTAATTTAGCTTCTCTATTCCCCTATCACTTATGGGAATCACTTCCTCTTCTTTACCAATTCACTCTATGCTGTCTTACTTCAGTGAGATACAAAAGAAGAAGGAAAAAAAAAAAAAGAGAAAAAAAGAAAAAAAACAAGCTGTCAATAAAATACTTAGTTCTGTTAGCTAACATTTACAAGAAAAAAAAACTTACATTTTTAAAAATGATTGCTATATTATGTTTTTTCTTCAAATGTTTGGTTGGGCTATTCCTCAAAACTTTGTTTTTAATATTGGTCCTCCATTCTTAATAACAACATGGAAGTTCTGACATCTCTCCACATATATCCACTGTGTGACTCTCACACTTTCCCCTTTTAATGAAATTTTTACAAATGGTGCTTTCATACACATTGCTCAGCAGCATATTAGAATTTTAGGAATCATATTAATGTGTACAGTACATATAAGTACAGTCATACAGTAATATGATTAAAAATCAGAAGACTATAGAATAGAACTCCACAACAGCAGTGCCAGCATTTGAAAATTTACACAGTTCTAGAAGCAGCAGTTTAAAGGAAAAGAAATCTCAAGAGTTAGTTTCAAAATGGGTTAATTTTTATTGACTATAGTTTATACTGCTTCTGTTAATTAAGGATAAATATAAACTTGATTTGGATTAATGTAGTTTTGTATAGCTTTTCCATTATGACATACTCTTACAATGTATTAAAATACATAAACAACATTACCGAACTATCCAGGTATCCATTCCCATCTGTATCATATAAGCGAAACATAACTATAAAGGAAACAAAAAGAGAAGGAAACTCAGTTAGAAAACATAGTAACAACATTATTTCATTAAAAAAACAAGCAAACCTAACCACAAAACAATAAACCTGAGTTTCAAAGAAAGGACAAACATAAACATTTTCCTTTAACAATCACACTAACTGTAGACCCACCAAACACTTCGTATTATGTGAGAGGTTCACTCAGCGACTACCCTGCCACAATGCCGCCAACGCAACATATTAGCGGGACAGTGCAATTGCACCTTTTCCACATAATCACTCCAACAGCTAATTTGGCCTGTAAAAAATTCTGATTCCTCCTAGAAATGATCTGTATTCATGGTACCCCCAAAAGGCCTTTCTCTGTCATCTCACCAGACATAGGATAACACACAATTAGTCGGGCAAATGTTGGTAAGCCTGCTAAAGTTACAACGCTATCCTACTCCTTTGGTTGCAGGTATTGCTATTCAATAGTGATACTGCTTTAGAAATGCTTTCTGACCAACTAAATGAAACAGAGGATTATTATTTGAAGTACCTAATCAGCCAAATCAAACAATAAACATTCCTCACAGACTCCCAGCATGACTTCTCCCAGGACCAGACTTGCTTCATCGATTTGAAAACGTATTCCCAACATTTTGGAGAGCTACCCAGACAAGAATAGCTGCATTTTGATAACATCCAGAAAGAACATACACCTTCAAGTTTGTATCATCACTTGATTCCAGCCACAAGAGTGGCTATGTCCACCATTATCAAGATATTTCAAAGCAGCTTAAGTCTACTGACCATATACTGCATTAGATTGCAAAGCAGAAGGAAGCCTGAAGCTCTGGCAGGAATATTGGTAAACTGCTACAGATGAAAACCAGAAGCCCATGAATACCTCACTCTTTATCTCTACTTTCTGGGACAGTTTGTCAGAGCTCTGAAATCTAAACACCATCCCCTTCAAAAGTACTCTTTTTCCCCCCCTAGATCTATTTTCTAAGGAGATAGAAGAGAGCCCATATACAGGTGCTTCCAGGACACTGTAATGCCTTCACTGACAGCAAAAAACCAAGCAATCTGCTTACAAACTGTCTTATCAGATATCTTTGGAAACATAACATATGACCTATTCATATGACCGTATGACACAGTGCTTAGTGACATGGTTTAGTGGTGGTTTTGGCAGTGTTAGGTTAATGGTTGAACTTGATGACCTCAAAGGTCCCTTTCAACCTAGACAATTCTATGATTCGATTCAGCAGTGAACAATCCCACCACATTGGATCCACAGCAAATGCTGTTACAGTCCAATTCTGCAAGCAAAGCTTATCACGGTTTTCAGGAAACAATATAATGAGAAATGAGAGGAAATCCTTAGCAATTAGAAAGTAAAGTTCAGAAAGAATTTGATTACTTTTTACTTACAGCAAAACATATTTAACTGTTATATAGATTGGTTTGCTTCTCTTACATCCCCTATCTTATTCCCAAGTTGATCACCTAACTGTGGGGAAAACTGGTAAGTACTATACCACTTCAGCAGTTTTTGCCACTACATCGCACTGCTCTTAAGAGCTGTAATATTAGATTGAAGATATTTACTGTAGTACATTGTTTCAAGCTACAAAGGTCCATTATTCATTAGTTATAGGCTAAGAAAACCTATAAAAATATCTTTATTTGCCTGTGAATTACATATCAGAAATGTTTCAGTGTAAAACAACAGTTAATGCTAAAAGCCACCAGAGATTGCTACTGCCCCTGCTTGTACGCCTTCTACCAAAGCTGCTCAGAACACGACAGCTAATATTAACTGGCAAAGGTACCAGTAAGCATTTACTGTTTCCATAGGGATGAATCACTAAATCACTCCGTGATAAAGTTCAAATCATTTGGTTCTCCTGCCTCCTCCTCTGCAATTGTAATACACTGGCTGAAAGAATGTTCTACAGTTATCGTGAAAGCAAGTTTTAGCATCTCCTTGATCTTTACCCACTCCTGAGAAGTAGTGCTTACAAGTTTTTTTCTCTTTTAGCATGAATCAGTAGTTCTAATCGGTCATTTAAAAAACAGACATTAGCATAATTATAACTGTTTCACCTTGGTAGCAAACAAAGTCTCTCCGATTACATATGTGTTGGTTAGTGAAAAGGCTCAATCTGTGCTCTTGGCTAGACTCTGAAAAACTATGTTACTGATGTGGCATGCAATCTCTTTTCTATTCATATCCTGCTAAATATTCATGTTCTTGCTGATTTACATACTCAAGGAGAAAAAAAACAACAAGAAAATTAGAAAAAAACTGAACAAAAGTTGTGACGCAGACTACAGAGCCCAAGTCAATCTTTTATATTTCTTTTCCCACCCTCTTATCTGATAGCACTGATTGGCCACTCAATTTCTATTACTAGAATGCGTACCTTTTGTAAACAATTGGCCACTCAATTTCTATTACTAGAATGCATACCTTTTGTAAACAAAAATGTATTAAAATGAATTAACAAGATGAGATCAGTTGCTGCACTGCTGTACTTTCACCTGCAACCTCTAGACTTCTAATCTTGCCTATGACAAAAGCGGAATCCCAGAAATTCCAAAAGTTCAAAATTATGCCCTTTTGAGAAGAAACTGGGGAATTCATTCTCAGAAATACATGCACAAACAAGAGCTGAATGCACTTTCTATTTTCACCAGTGCAAGCACTTTGAAAACTGTAAGGCTTGTCACTCTCCACAGAAGCCTGAGTGTCCAAGAGCTGTATAGCATCACAAAAAGACAGACTATACCTAATCATATTACTGCAAAAATACAAAAGAACAGTGTGGCATTCTTGAAGCTTCTGTTGGCATGGAAAGAACAGAAACATAACCTGGAGATAAGATCCTGATAAGATAAACTGGCAAAAGAAAACCCCACAGCTCCTAATTCTTGAAGCTTTTGTTCATAATAGTGGAGAGAAGTTTGAGTACTGGTAAGCATCTTATGTTCGTAAAGCTATGGTACCTGTGGAGGTCATATACTTCCTCCACACCATTTATGTCTGATGCCCTTCATACTGCCTCCTGGCATTTCTCTGAACAGTTTCACAAGAGATACATGTCTGGTGTCCATGGTTATACTGATAAAAAACACATACAAGTTGAGGAATGGGTTGTGCTGATAAAGCCTCATGTGAATGCGAGCTAATAACTTTTGCTGTTGAGGTCATTAAAGGAAGAAAAGTTGAGCTATGAAACACCACTGTTCAATTCTTAGGAAGCACCCTGCATATTTACAAGGGGTCTTTCTTACACATTGAAGAATCATAGCGTGGACACCAGCAAGCAAAGCCTGGTACATGTGAAAACAACACGGAAAGCCGAACAGGGTTTCTATGGATCAAGTCTACAGGTTGAGCCAAAGAGCATAAAGGTATTTAATAATATAGATACTCCTTGAACTATTTGCAATATGACCTTAAAAAGAGAACTTAAATTCTTCCAATGTATCTCTGCTAGGAAAGTTTGGGATATTCTTTATATTCAGGTCACATATAGTTTATGACTAATAGATATTGTGAGCATGTCAAACAGGTAAGGATCGCAGTGCTTAAGACCTCTACAAATCCTCTGTTAATAGGTTAGAGAATCCATTCAGCTGCTGGAATATTTGTAAATCTATGAAAATCCGTAGAACATACATATCCAAAACCTAAACACTATTTTGTCTTAGTGTACTTCATCTTAAAACATCCTCCAGCTTTTATCACGTTTTATTTGAAAAAACTGCTTCCATGTTCTGCTTGTCATGAATCAAGTTTCCAAACACAGCTATGATACAGTCTTTCCATTTCTTGTCAACAGAAAAAAAATATTTTGAGATTAGTATTAATGTTAATGTTGGCAACTCTGAAATAAGCTATCCTTTCTTCTTCCACTCCACTGCTACTAATTTATAATTTATCTTACAGTCACAGGACATACTGCTATAAAATTATTTCAGACAAAGGGTTAAATTATACTGTTAATTTTTAAAGACAATTCAGTTAAAATCACCAGGGAATTCTGCACACTAATGGAACAAAACAAGACAAAATTTTGACACAAAAAAGCAACAGTATGTGGTGTATTTCAACTCTGTATGACAAAGTAGGAAAATAAAACTACGTAATAACGATGTCCTTAATTATATGTAGTAAGTGCAAATGATCTTGAATATATAAAACATGTAGGCACCATACATTTATCAGATCAGGCTCTCTCACTCCTAAATCATATAGATCAGTCTTTTGCCTGTGCCAAAGTTCCTTGCAGGAAGTTCAAGGAACGTCTCCTACACTCAAACCATCATCTGCTCCTCTGGCTTTCCCCCTTTTCAATGCACCATTTCCTGACACCAGGGCAGGCAACTGAGCACCGTTTCATGCTATGGTTTGTGCATAGAGGTCTTCACAGCTCTGATAAGCCTTGCATGACTTGCTACCACGAACCAGCTATTATATTCTAAGTTGAATTCAAATCTAGGATCTTAGTTTTCCCCTGCTTGTGTTCTGAATGCACATTCATGCATACATTCTTATATTTTAATCACATGATACCAAACTGGTATTACCAAATTTGGGGACAGCTTCTTATAAGCTTTGCTGAGGCAAAAGTATTGGTGACCTTACAGTACACAGTTGTCATTGTAAGCTAATTACGGGTAATGAAACATCGAGATACTTCAACAACAGGCAGTCACGTAACCTTGTAATGAATTTCTCATTCCGGTTGAAGCAGGCTACTGTTTGCATTTCCTATCATATTGAGTATTTCCTTCCCATACAGTATTACAGCCTTCATCCCACAGCTCTTTTATAGACAGACCAGCTATGTATATCAAAGTATATTCAGTGTCAATAAGGACTATATGATTGGATGGACTGTTTATCTAACTGGAAAACCGGCTTCTACAATTCCATAATAGGGAAACACACATTTTCCTTCTTTTTTTTTCCTGATTTGCAGATCAAACTCTCAGTTATTTTTTGAACAGGCAGAGGTGTTGGGCTTTAATGAACCAGGCCCTTAATTAAAAAGAACAAGTAATTTCTAACTATCAGTGTCAAACACTCATATGTGTAATTTGAACCAGGCCCTTAATTAAAAAGAACAAGTAATTTCTAACTACCGGTGTCAAACACTCATATCTGCAATAATGGTCACCTAGAAACATGTTTTTGTAATGCACCTACTAAAAACTGAGTCTTAAACTCAGAAAATTTAGAAACAGAATTTTTGATGTCTTGTTGAAATAAATATATAAAATTAACTTAAAAGAACATACATTCTAGCTTGTCTTCAGGTCTTCCTCTTTCTAGCAGTGACAAATAGCAAACGATATCTTTCAGCTGGATCATGTCTGGCAAATGTAAGTTGGCAGGAGTAGGAGGTCGGGATGTAGAGGTACCTTTGTTAAGTCTCAGACCTGGAAATAACACACAGTATTTGTTACTCTTCACATATGATGTAAGCAGAAAATGAAAACATAACTCTTGCATACGTGCACCTACATTTTATGTGAATCTCAGATGACTTCTTAATTTAAATACAAATGTGAAGTTTTAAATAATTCATGTTCATAATTTATCCAGCAAACACAGAATTAAATTGTTAGTGAGGTTTTAAAATATCATGCAGGTAAAGCAAACTGCTGCAAAAACAAAAAAAAATCAACTATGGGAATGGCATAACCCTTTTCTGTGTTGTCAGAGCAACACTTATTTAAAACATGGAAGCCTCAGCCACTGAATACTATGGAAATACACATATAATTTAAATAATAGTCATAATAATTGCTCAAACATTGTGATCAAGTGCAGTTCCAGTGTACCACTTGGAATACACGTTTCAATACTGCCAAACTTTTTGTTTCAAGAGAACATCAATATGATCAGTCCTGACGCTACTACTAGAATCTGCAGGACCAATAAATACAGGGGAAAAAACGGGCAAGCACAGGAGAACACACAGAAAGCAGTAATAAAGCTTTCTTTAAAAGTATGTTACATTTCTCACTGACTTTAGTGATGTTAAAGATGAAAATTTACAAAAGGATTTACTGTTCTTAAATATTTTCTTTAACTAATTCAGAACAGATTTGTCATTGCACACATAACCTGCATATATAATTTCTCTCATCCACTTGTCTTGGACAAGTTAATAACTGTAGCAAATGGAAACAGAATTCTAGGGGGTATTTCCCTCCCTATTTTTTATCTTGGAAAACTTCATTACAATCTGAAGACGTTTTCAAAGGTCTACTGATGTACACACATTAAAAAAAATAACTTCAGTAAATAAGAGCAAATTTGCATGCAGAAAATATATCTTTGAATCAAGATCGTGTTCATGATTTCAGACAGATAATAAACATTGAAAGTAAATATTTAAATGAATAAGATTTAATAGGGAAATATTCTACTAAATGAGCTTGCTTGTCAGTTAAGTGTCCTTAAAATTAAGACATTATAAAATATTAATCAATTAAGATGCTTGCTTTAATCACACAATTTACACAAATCATTCACATTCCAGTTTTAAGTGAATCTCATGCACAGAATAAAAAGTGTTATAAAGCTTGGAATAACTCATCTCAAAAATGCGTAGTCCTGAAATCCACATGGAAAGGCATACAAATTTTAAGGTATCTTTTAGCTTACCATCAGTTGCAAGGCACACGTTAAAAGTATTACTTCTTAATCAGAGGTTTAAGAGGGGTGGCTGCAATGTGCTGACTTACAGATGACTTACAGTGCTGCTGCTTACCTGGCATCTGTTTCCATCTCTCTTCAGAAACCTTAACTGAAAATAGAATTTATAATCAGACATGAGTGGACAAAGAGACACTAAGTAAAAAATGGACACATACTAGAGAGATTTATGAACCCTGCTACTTTCCTTGTGATCGTCTCTAGGTCTCATGTACCTTTCCACTTTCCAGAAGAATGTCAAATGTTTCTGACAAATTTATTTCCCAGTATGATCAGTTTTTTTCACTATTGGTAATATTTAAAAATTACTAGGGAGCCTAAAACAAAGGTTTCCGTAATTTTCATTTGCACATCAAAATATACCAGCGCACACTTTTTCCCTTTAAATGCTACATATTATAAAGATGTAACACCTAGTTTAAATGTCATGCAATTGAATTACAATACGAACACTATATTTTCAAACACAAATAACTCTTGCATGAGGTGAACAGAATTGGCTCTCTGAACATGCTTTGGATATAACAATTTCTCAAACAGCCCTTCTGGTATTACACTAAATACATATGGAAGACAACTAATCTGGTCTCACATTATATTATTTCTAAAATCTAAACAAAAAGATGAAAATTAACTAAAAGCTGGGAAAAGTGAGTGAAAGAGAAAAGACTTTTAGGAGGTAGCATTAAAGTAAGAAACAGCATACAGTTTAAACAACAATGATAACAATAACAACTATAATAATGATTTATTTTTTTTTACCGCAACTAAGAATAAAATCTATCAGAAAGAATTATAGTGAAAGTGAAGAAAGCTGAGTATGGCCTATACTGGGCAGAATTTAGATGTAAATCTGGCAATGACCTAAAAATAGCTTTATCATTTCTACATATGAAGTGTCAAAAACCATACAAATGTAACACCAGAATGATAAAAGACGATTAAATAGTAGTACTCAGACAACATATGTAAAAGCACAGCATAATAAATAAATATGCACTACTAAATGGCAGCTGCTATCGCAGGCTGGCAAAAAGTGTTAAGCGTAAAAGTTTACGAATTTTGGTGGCTGGTACAGTGCATGTTTATTGCTGATGCTACTCATTGATGAGAACAATGAAAACTTCAATGAAAAATTAAAAGTAACAAAAGCAGAAATGAAATTGTGCTACTGAGACTTTATAGGCAACAGAATCTATATCCATAGTTGAAAAAAATGCAATGCTGAATATTTATGACATCCAAAGTATACCCTGCAGCATACAATAAAGAATACACTTAGACACGTCCATAGAGATTCTGTTGCAAAGAACCTTTAAGGGCAAAGGACTGAATATCAAAAACCCATGAGAAAGTCATCAGAGCTGTAATTAGCAGCGGGTTTTGAATAGTCCACACAACTGATTACACCATAGTCTAATAAGCCTACTGCTCTGCATGTGGAACCCGTCTAGATAACAAACAAAAAAAGCCTAAGAAGTTGGAAATGTACTGTCTACACAGCAGGTATTTGTGGAAGGAGATGTGTCCAAGGCTGTTCTGATTAGAAAAGATAAAACAAGTTACCTGAAGAATTAAATTCAAATAAAAAAAATAATTTATATGAAGAATCATACCCTCGATGTGGTAAGCAAGTTTTGCTATCAGAAAATTTACTTTTCGGTTAAGTCTAATTAGAGTTAATGAGCATTATATATATACATTATAATATAATTGATGACAATAATGTAATATTTTTGTTTGTTTGTTGTTTTTTTCCAGGAAATATAAAGCTAAGAAGTGGAAATGACAGGTACTGTGAACTTAAATAAAGAAAACTAACTGGAACCCATCTATTTAACAGAGTTGAGAACAGCATGCACTAAAACGAAAAAGCAGGTCAGACTCAATGGGTGATATCTGAAAGCCTACAACTAGTATTGTACACTGAGGCATCTATGGAAATCTAATGCTCGGTATCTGCAAGAAAAGCCTACATTTCAGCTAGTAGCACTTGTATCAAACTCACAACTTCTGGATGAGTTGTAATATGAAGACCCCTAATCTTCATATAAAGAATTCAAGTGATTAAGTACCCATCAAACCATTTGGTAACTTGCTCTAAGCACTTGATTATCCCACCTGTTCGAAATATGCAATTTATTTCATTAAATTAGTCTAGCTTCCACTTTTAGCTACTGGATTTTGATAGAGTTCACAAACTGCTAAAGTGCTAAACCAAGTATTCAAATTTAGGAAGGTAACCTTAAATTTCTTCTGCAAATTTTCTTTAAAAGTTTTATAAATTTTTGTAAGCTGTCAGTTTTTAACACTATTTTGCATGGAAGTATTTTAACATGTTAAGTCCTCTGAACTCAAAATCACTTTTAATAAAAATGTTCAGTTTATCATGAAAATTTCAAACTGCATAAAAGAACATCCTTACATTGGGAAAAGAAATACTGCTAACACTTATAGGACATTTAAAATATCAGTAGCTGATAAGTATGTAGGATTACTAATAGCAATATCACACCTAGACAATCAAGAGAAGCAGCAGTAACGGCACAGAAACTGTAGAGCACCAGCAGGAGCCTCCTGCATGAAGCTCTGAAGGTTTCTAAGTGCTTATACAGTAGAGTAGGCAAAAAGATTGTGTAACCATAGCAATCTGATTAGCATTAACATGACAAAGACTGTCCACTTGGTGTCTCAGCTGCATCATTATTGTGAATTGAAAAGACGAAGCCATTTAGTTTCCACTTCTTTTCACAGTGTTCATTGTTCACGATTGAGTTAGTTTCTTCAATTTCACAAATATCAGAACAAAAAAAGAAATCCATATAGTTTAGAATTCCATATATTTATAGCTATTAGAAGTAAAATAGCAGGGAGAAGGAACCTTCACCTCTTATATTAGTGATTTATTATTATTTATTACTATTTATTTTTTTTACTATTATATTACTATTTATTATTATTTATTACTTACCTCCAGAAAGGTGCTGGGGTTTGTTTTTTATTAACGGGCTGCAGTGGGAGATTTTGTTGCTAAATGATGTAAAAAGATGCTCAACAAAATCATCTGGTAACTCTGCCTCTAGAAAAGTCTTCATGAACAGCTTGAACCCCTCTAAATCAATTGTCTAGAGTGAAAAAAAAAAGAGAAAGAGAAAAAAAGTATTTTGAATTGTTCATTTTGCAAAAACTTGCATACTAATCCATCAAATAATATTCTGTTAACAAAAACTTTGGACTGTCTTTGAAAATATTGATATCTGAAGATACAGCCTGGCATACCCATTCTTGAAAGTGACTGATTATTGAATTGAGTGTTACTTTGAAAACTCACAGTATTGCTACAACAGCCCAGAGTCAATTCAGATCACTTGTATCAGGATCCCGAAACTTAGTTCCATGCTCTCTAGTTTCTTGATTAGAAAACGGCTAAACAGCACATACAAAAGCACAACCAAAGGCACCTATGGAGCTCACAGGGATGGACACAGCGAGTCTTAGCTTTTCCCGTAATTGGGCAGACAACAAGCAGGGGAGTCTTGGATGCATAATTCACAGAATTGAAGGCCTCCTGTCTTTTCCTAGGTGGCAACACGTTTTGTTGTTATTTGTCAAAGAGAAACTAACCACTCTGTCTTAAATAGGTTCTAACAGTCAAATAAGAGAACTGAGACACGCAACATAACTTACAGGGGAAAAAAAAGTTGTTGATTTGAAACATTTGCCATTTAGTTTAATTTGGGTTTGCTTTTGCCAGCAAGATAAGAGCTGGCTGAACAATTAAACTTCATTGATGATTTTTCCTGGTAAGACAGCATCGTCTGTTTTGAGCAATAAAATGAATCATAGAATATCTAAAGTTGGAAGGGAACCATAAGGATTGAGTCCAACTCCCTGATCCTCACAGGCCTACGTAAAAATAAACCATACAACTAAGAGCATCATCCAGATGCTCCTTGAACTCTGACAGGCTTGGTGCCATGAACCCTTCCCTGGGGAGCCTGTTCCAGTGACTGGCCACCCCCTCAGTGAAGAAACTTTTCCTAATGTCCCATCTGAACTTCCCTGACGCAGCTTCATTCCATTTCCTCGTACCCTATCGCTGGTCACCAGAGAGAGGAGATCAGCACCTCCTCCTCCGCTGCCCCCCTTGAGGAACGTGTAGACTGCAATGAGGTCACAGCAATGTAAAGCATTATGATCCCATTTTATCCTGCTAATATACAACTATTAATGGTAAAGTTGTCCTGAAACATATCAAGAGAGCTTAAGACAATTTCAGTTTATCTCAAAAATAACTATGACACAACTGCATACTTATCAATTATGCTACTCTGTTACATATTGTGATTTTAAAACAGTTTATCAGTCATTAATCTGAAAAACAGAGGGTTACTGTCTTTGTTTCTAGATCAAACAGGACAGCAACTTTTCACCATTAAATAATTAAGGGATAAAGCCACATTATATCACAAAAGTGAATTGGAGATATTTCCCCACACCTCAGGAAGACTCCATTTCTCCATAAAAAATGCTAGTGCAACTCCTTTAGTTCAGCACAGTGAATGCAGCACTAGGAAGGAAAAGACTAGAAAGAAATCAGCTTGAAACCATGCCGGAAAAAGAAAATTGAAACTAAATTTTCAAAGTGCCTCAGTGACTTTGGAATGTGAGTCACAGTATAAATAATTTTTACAATGACTTTAATATCATTTCAACACTTCAGAGCTGGGATTTCTTTATTCCTGGCTTTTTTTTTTTTTTTTTTTTTTTTTTAAATATTTAGGAGATGTAGAAATTTTATGTCCACATGAAATAAGGTGTTTCCCATTAAGGTCAAGACCCAGCTGCCTCAGGGTAAAGTTTTAAATGCGTATCACTGTCCTCACAAGGGACCAAAGTCACAGATTGCAAAATTTGACTGATCTTGTACAAATCGTTATTATTAGGAATGCAAACTTGGCAAGAGGGTATCTACGCTGAGCTTCTAATCCAGAACACCTCATTTGAGAAAGAAGGTCAGTGAAACCAATAAAACACTTACCTACTGAACACCAAAATATCAGACTGAAAAAAAATTGCCTCCACAAGGCTCAAACTGGGTGTAAAATGGAAATAATCAACTTGGACATGGACTCACTATCTTTATCTCATTACAGGGTTTCAGTCACTCAGCTTTGGCAAATCATACAGTTTCACCCATGCTACAACCGTTATGTTTTTTCTCACTATTTAAGTCACCGACATCTAATTCACTGTTTATAAACTATGAAACCACAATGGCAAAAGGATTAGTATCAGCATCCAAGTAAATCGGTCATTACTTTACACTATACAAATGTATTTTTTATCTGCAAGCATAACAAATACATTAATCACTAAATCAACTGTCTTTAACAATGTGAAATTGCTTTGTTAGATTGTTCGTTAATGCAACGTGTCTTAGCTATTTCACTAAACTACATACAAGAGGAATAACCAAGTGAAAAAGGAAAACAGGAAAACAAATTATAATCCCATTTAAGTTAAGGTTTATGAATGAACATGTAAAATATCTCTGTATTACATAAAGCTTTTCTTTGTTTACCTTGTCTGTGGATTTTATGTATATACTGCTAAAAATATTCCCTGAGTTTAGAGCTTAGGTTTTTAAACTGCTGCCTGAGAGACATTGGTCCACCAAGCTGCCAGCAATAACTAAATCCCTATTGCTACATTTTTCCCATTTATGGGCTCATAATTATGTCTGGGTAGAGATTTGGATTAATAAATAAGGTTAAAATTACATGTGTCCTTCTTCCTGAAGACTCTTTTTCTCAAAGATGTTCAAACTTTTAAATATTTTTCTTTTAAATATTATTATTTTAAATTATTTTAAATATTTTTAAATATTTGTCAGACTATCATCTACCACAGTGTCCTCCAAAGCAAGTGTTCCAAACTGCCCTATATTTTCTGGCCAGGAGAGACAACAGATATCAAAATAACACATGAATTGGCTGCCATGTCCATTTACTGTACTTGAAACCCTGACTGCCATTGATTAGGGTGCTCAGCAAAGGAAAAAAGAAAGTGGGTGCTTGTTCTATAAGGTTGTTCTACAGTCAGATTTCTTCAGCTGGAAGTGCTTTATCTTCTGCTTTAACGTCCTCTGTGAGCTCTATTCCCCAAGGGAAGAAGCAACATTCATATAACCCGAGTTCAGATGTTGCACATCCAGAAGCTTCTAAATGATGCTGAAAGTTAGTTAGGAGCTGGTAAGTGACTTGAATATGGATTGGAAATGTTTATAATAGCCCAAAATGCAGATGCAAAACCACATGCTGTATCAAAAGAATGTGCAACAACAGTCCTGCCTCTAAAGGATATCCATACATAAAGCTTTGTGATTAGATTCTTACTTATATGAAAAAAAACCCCACAAAATACATGATTCTAATAATCCCATAGCTGAAAAACATTTTCTAGAGGACCTAACATACTTATCCCATAGCTGAAAAACATTTTCTAGACCTAGGTGTAGATTATCCTATTAGAACTGAGCTCTAAAGTAATGCAGTCGTTTCTGGAAATTTGTTTTTGTAAATGTATATACAGTAAATAACAGAACTGAGCTAGACTACAGCCTACCTAGGCATAGTTTAGATTATTCATCTAGCTTTCCAATGAAAAAGGGGTGAGCTTTCAAAAAAAGACTCACTTCAAATTACTTTCCGTGCTTTGTCATCTCTTTCTCATTGTAATATACATAAGCCATCACGTAACTGCAGAAAAATTGAATAATTTCTTGAAAGAAATACTGTGAGGACCACTATAAAAGACTTATGAGTATTATCACCAAGTAGAGGTTTTAGTATTGAGTATGGTTCATTTAGAACAGAACACTTAAAGATGTAAAACATTTGCTCAGCCTAATTTAAAATAACTTTCACAGAAGAGAGAACAACACACAGTATTATGAGCATTTCTGCAATTATACAGTATTTTTCTTTTTTCCTCATGGAACTTTACCCTTCTAAAATACCAAAAATGCTTCAGTAAGTAACTACCCTTCCTCTAATTACTAACATTTCCCCCTAGCCCCAGCTACTTTTCAAGTGAAACACACAACATTTCGGTAACCAAAAAGACAAAAAAAAGAAAGCAGAGGACATTAATTTTCCACATTAACATGGATCATGCTCCGTCTGCTATGTAAACCAAAATATCTTCCTTTTAAATCTCACTGTCATACCAGAATTTCTCAGATAAAAAGTTCAATACATTTTGGTATGGTTTGAAAATAATTTATTTCTGTTAATGAATTCACAAGCATTAATTAAACAGTTCAGATCAATAATATCAGAATAATATATAAGCCATAATGGTCGATGTTGTTTTCTTAAGCATGCAGGCTAATTGCTTAATTTTCAACAGTTGCTTGGCTTCCAGAGGCTCCCCTTGAATTCAAATGAACCTGAGAAAGAAGGATTTAGCATTTCAGAAGGCATTTTCCATGATGTTTCCCAAGTGAGGGGATGAGAGTGTGAGAGGATGTATCAGACTGACTACAATTAACCTGGCATATGAATTAATTCAGTCCATTTCACAAGAGATTATGAAGTCATAGGGAGATTATGATCACAAGTGCAGGGATCTCAGGGAAAATTTTCAATAGGGAGATATATAAGGACATAGTGGAAGCAGTCAATAGTGATTCAGAGGAACATGAAAGAACTTTCAAATCATTTGGCCTAAATCTTCTGAAGAGGGGCAGGGGAAAAGAATAAAAATCTGTGCTGTTTTAGCTTTGATTCATATAAAAAAGGTACCAAAAGCCTTGCCTGTAGGTCGCAGAAAGGTTAAGTGTTCTTATATTAATCATATGTGACTGGATTCCTCTTGTCCTCCAGTTGTTAAACAACTGATTCACCAAGTTTACTGGAGCTCCTTTTCTTATGTGTTACAAAAATAAACTTGACAAAATAAGACATTATAAACCTTCATAATCTTCTATATTATTGGCTAATAAAACTTCATTTAGTAATGAAAAATGTTGATATAAGCCCAGAGAAGTACACATTTAAAAACACCATCGTGTTTTAGCTAATTTATACCATAAAATCCATATAAAAATAATTTTAGTACT